CGTTCATCATTCAATTTTGTAATTCCAAAAATGTTTAACAGAAGTAGAACTACTTTTACCTATAGTACTACTACTAACTTTTATATAAACAAATGAAATGCATCAATTCATTATAAAAGAAAACGTACACCTTCCTCTGTTAATGCTAAAAAATATTATTACTATTGAAACAAATGCTTCAAAAAGGTGTCTCCTAAGTACAATTTGTAAATTTGGAACTCGCTACACGTTTAATACTACTGGTAAAACAACAATGATAAACAACAAAAATGATCAATTTTGTTTGAGTAAACTGTGAGTAAAGAAGGCGTATTTGTGCTACTACTACCGCCAACAACAAGTATACCTAATATTGTAAAACGACTGATTGTAAAACTCCTATTTCTTCTCTAAGTAGTATTGATAATTCTACACATTTTTAAATTATTTTTTAAAAATTATTTGGTATATGAAGTAGTTCAATGACACGCCCCCTCCCACTAGCACTTTCATGAACACACAGAGTGACTCATCTGCGCACGCACAGACGATCTGTGCGCACTGCTGTGTACAGCTGCTGTAAATCGTGCATGAGGATCAGGCGTGAAGAAGTGTGAAAACCTGCAGCTGTTCTGGAACAGCAGGATCATCATGGACAGAGCCCGCAACCAGGACCCGAGTCAGGACCAGAGACTACGGCTGTAGGCCGGATCCTCTGGCCGCCCCATAGCCGAAGACAGGAGGGGTAGCAGTCCGAACAGTGAGCTCCGTCCACGGGTCCCTCCCTGCTGGACGAAATGTGGCTGAAACCGGAGGAAGTAGTTCTGAAGAACGCTCTCAAACTGTGGGTGACAGAGAGAAGCAATGACTTCTTTTTGCTGCAGAGAAGGAGAGGACACGGAGAGAGTACAGGCAGGATCACAGGTAACGTGCAGATCAACAAGTAAACAAAAACAAACAAGCGAGGGGGGAGAGGACAACAAACACACAACTACACGGATACAAATGGGAGTAAACGTAGAGATACGTTCACATGAATTGAACCATCACAGCCCACGAATGGTGGCCGAGCTTTTGGATTAGTTCCACTGTTAATCCAGGATTTTAGTGAGAGTTTTGCAGGAATTCCCCCGCACCACATACACAGTAGGCTTGAGTGCGTGTTACTATAACAACAGAGTAACACTGTTACTTTTAGGCTGTTAGTTAGATAACCTTTAATGTAGTCATGCTGTTGCAAAAAAATTATTTACATATTAACCATGAGAAACAGTGGTTCGTTTTTACTGTCTTCTGCTTTTAGCTGGTGTGTTTATGTACCATTAGGATAAAAAAAAAAAACTGAACTCAAACTAACTTTATGTCTGGTTAGTGTAACTTACAAAACATTTCCACTGTTAAATATTTCTCACTTTTAAATAGCATTAAATGAAGTATAATACTGTTAGTACTTTAACAGCATCAAATAACAATATAATCACCATCAGTAAACAAAGTCACAGACTCAAACCAGACTTTTTTTTACCATATGTTTTGACTGACAGAACAGCTCTAATAATATTTTATAATTTTTTTTTCTTAATATTAGGTCACTTTGTATACGCTCCTAAATCAAATACATATTTGCTGTTTTGAAGTGACCGCCGCCTGAATTGTTATCTGGCATATCGTCGACTTCTACCTCATTTAGGTGAGACAGATGTCAAATTTCCCTCCGCGATTAAATGTAAACAACGGAAGAACTAAACATGGCAGACCCTGTTGAGCTAGCACGTTGAGGGTACTCCCTGTAGGTGGGCTGACGACCTCATGGAGGGTACAAAAACGTTGAGGGGTCATTTTTACTCCCTGTAGGTGGGCTGACGACCTCGGTGAGCCTTGATATCAAAACTGATACACACACTGACACGTGTACTACATGCGTACTGTACTTCCATGTTGGGTCACTTCTAGGCCAAAGACTGTTCATACTGGAGTCTGATGGCAGGTTTAAATTCTAATGTGAACAACCACACAAAAACAGACCTCGGAAGAAAAGTACTGTAAATGGACTGTAAAGTAAACACTAAAAACCACACTCAGGCCCGGGGGCCAAATCTGGTCCGCCGTGTAATTATATTTGGCCTGGGAGATCATATCAAATGTGTACTAGAGTTGGCCCACCAGTATATAGCCCCTATATACTGACAGGAGGTGTTGTATTAGCGGTGTATGTGCTATGTTATAGCACATACATTTTTTTGTTGTTGTTGTTATTTCAAATTTAATTTGTCAGATTTTTAATATTAAGCTTCGGTTGTTCGAGATTCAGTGTTCACGCAAAGTGCTGCAAACGTTTGCCTCATAGTGAAATTTCCCACTTCCTCTAAAGAATACTTAGTTGTTGGTCTCTTGTGTACACAAGAACAGATTTTCTCTTGTCCCGTCTCTTTTATCCTCTTATTAAGGCGGATTTTTTTATTATTATTATTAAATTATGAAATCACAATTTCTATTCATGGGAAAAATCCTTTTAGTTATTTGCATTTTTGATATTTAATAATTCAATATTTAATTAATTATGACATTAGTAGATACGTGAAGCCCACAAATATGAAAATTATATTATAATATTAACAATTATTATTATTATTATAATGTGGGTCTCATATTTTTTATCAAAGAGTTCAGCTTGTTTTTTTAGGGATTCTGTAGTGTAGCGGTTATCACGCCTGCTTTGCTTCCAGAAGGTTCTGGGTTGAAGCCCCAGTGGAAACATGTACTTAATCCTGCATGTTTTTTGCTTTGGGTAAAAGTGTAGTATTTTACATAAGGGTATTAAAGTTAATTAGGTCATTAACATTCATGTTGATCTTTTGCGTACTTGGGGCCTCTTTTATTTACTCACCTTTGCATTTTTTTTTTGTCTTTATTTTTCTATCCAAACGGATCTTTTCTGGTCGGAAACAAAACAAATGACTCTCTGCTGTTCTCTGATTTGAGAAGTCACAGTTGAGGCTCTCAGATCTTCTGTGGTCAAAAACCTTCTACATTATTCTTTTGGTCCCTCTCGTACTTTTTAAACCACACGCAGCCGGTGGTAACTGCGTGTCCTAGCTTGTCTCTGTGCTCTTGTCTTTGTCTCACTTCCTCTCTGGGCTCACTGAACTGTACCGAAAGATTTTTTTTTTTCTTATGACTTGAAACAATTGAAAGTCCGTCTTCTGTTCTGAGGCAGATGACAAACATTGGTCTCGTAAAACAGGATAGTGGGAACTTCCTGGTCCCGGCTTTACTTTGTCCACGTCTGTTGTCTTTGTTCCCATAGTGAGAGAGTGTGTGTGGGGGAGAGAGAGAGAGAGAGAGGGAGAGAAAAAAGAGGTCAGGTTTAAAATTAACCAATTAAGCAAGCTCTGTTGTGACATTCCTCCAACACAGTACAAAGAGTCACTCATCTTTAACTTTATGTGTAGTGGAAGTCGAAAGTGAACTCAACCCAAGGTCAGCGCTGTTTTCCTCCAGCAGAACTGAATCCTGGGAAGTGCCTGAAAATGATGAAAAGAAAATGCATTTTATATTTTTTAGGTCACACAGATTACAGTTTAAAAGAACAAGCAACTCAAATTTGCTAGGAGTGATTGAAAAGTTACATTACCGTAATAGACAATGTACCATACAAAAGATCATCACATCAGTACTAAAGATCAAATTTCATTGGACAAAAATGGATGTTAATACTAATAGGATAAAGTCAGACAAGTAGATAGAAATAAATGCAAAGGTTAGCATTGGCGTAGTTAAGGTAGTCGTAAATAAAGCTAATGTTTTGTGTTGAATGTTAAAGTTTTAAAGTTTTATTTATGACTACCTTAACTACACCAATGCTAATGCTAAAAAACAATAAAAAAACGTTTTTGATTTGCCAAACAATTACTTAAAGCTAGCTTGTAGCCCCAAAGATAGCTACAGGCTAGCCATAAAATATCGCAGATCTCACAAAACGTTAGCTGAGACGAACCTTGGAAGTGCTTGCATCTGACCTGGAATATGGGTTTGAACATTGTACAATGTTCTCAGCTCAGGGTTCCATATCAGGGTTGTGCAGCACACGCAGCTGATCAGTCAATCATTATAAACCTCAGAGACACTGGTTTGAATTATTCAGTGTTCACTGTTGCAGGTTAAGGTTTTAAACCCTCGACCAGAAAAGTTGGATCAGTCCTCCCTATTCTACATCACTGCACAACCAGCATTAACCCACGGTCGCCTGTATTTGACTCAAATGTATCAAAAAAGTATTCAGTGGACATCCAGGACCTTGCAGTTAGACTAACATTCTGATTTCTGTGGACTCCTGTGCTGTGGGCGTTGGAACACCGCTCCAGACAGAAGATTCAAACAAACAATGATTTAAGCGGCATAGAAAATTCCTAAAATACCACAGATTCAATCTTGTGCAGAAAAAAAACCCCAAGTTTTTTCTTGTGTTCGCACTGACACAAGAAAAAATCAGTACAAGACATTATCGGAGACAACAGACTTGTTGACATGTTTTCACCTTTTAGTGGCTCCACTGAGGTTGTCTGACGCCTTAGTGTCTCCGTAGCCATTGTTTTTTTGTTTGTTTGTTTTTTGTCAACATGAGCAAAAAAAAAAAGAAGAAAAAACTAAAGGATGCCTGTCCACCTCATCTGACTGCCTGGCTCTTTCTCCTTGACTTCTAGAATACTCACAGCAGTCTAAAATCTCCCCAGTGGTCTTTGTGGTGACAGATGGATGGTTGCGTTGCCAGGCTGCTGTACTTGCAGACTCAGGCACGCCGAAGTGGTGGTTTACATTTGGCCCAGAGCCAAGGGTTTATTACTCATCAGACTTCTTATTCCGGTATCACCAGTATTGCAGTATTTGACGGAGTCACTGCAGTTTTTATAGGCCGTTAACCCTTTCGGTTATTAAATGTGTTGTGCAATATTGTAGATTGAAAGTCTGGGCCAATCAGGTTGGCCAAAAACTCATTTTAGTTCAGGGGGGGTCACATACAGTCTAGTTACATAGTGGGTGGGCCTGTACATAACAATAAGGACTGTGCATGTTTCCCCCTTTGTTTTGTAATGCAGAGAAATACAATATTAGATATTCATTCATGTTTAATTTTACAAAAAATAACCTGAACATTAAGTGTTTTTTGTATTTTCCTTTAAAATTCATCAAGCCGGCCGGATTGAACACCCTAGTGGGCCGGTTTTGACAGCCCTGGTGTAAACAGACAGTATGTGATGCACTTGTTTTTGATGAGCCATCTTATCTCACAGCTGGAGCCAAAGCAGATCTAGAGTGAGTGAGCAGCACGTCCAGACATGGAGAGATGAAATGTTGGTGTGCGATGTGTACGATGCATGTGTCTTATTGCTGAAATACTCCGATATTTTGATGTTTTACGATGAACCCCAACATCCTGGTGCCAGATAACGTGCCAGTCGAAGAACAATGACAGACAGATTACTTCAGATAATTATTTCGATTGCCTTTGTATCAACCTAGTACAACGGTGTCAAACATACGGCCCGTGGGCAAAACAAGGTTCAATCTGGCCCGCTTGATGGATTTTAAAAGTAAAAAAAAAAAAAAAACATTTAATGTTTGCGATTTTTTGTCAGATGAGATTGCATTAAATATTAATATTTTCTAATACTTCTACTTATTTTCATGAAAACAAAAGGGGACAAAAACATCGACTTATTGTTATTTCTAGGTAACTATGTTATGATTGTACTGGTCCAACCCACTTGGCATCTAATCGGGCTGTATGTGGCCCCTGAACCAAAATGAAATAGTGGCCACTAAAGTAGTAGATGAGAGCTGCAGGGTCCAGTTCATAAAAGAAGACCCGACATGTGTCCCAATCAACGGTCCCTCTGATTTTCTCAACAGGAGACTTTAAAGATAACAGGAGCAGGAAAAGATCGCAGGCTTGGTACTGATTTCTGTTTCCTTACATGATCACTCGTTGACCACCCAGTGATTCTGATTTGTCTCTGCCACATGACTCTCTGATGACATCAATGGGCTGGGCGTTTTTTTTTTCTTTTACTTGAATTTACTTGAGTTCTAAGTAACGGTGACCGTGTTAAAAAAAAACAAAACAACCCAGTATCATAACAAAGACTTCATTATCTCCTCATAGTTTTACTGATACCATCACCCATTTCCTAGAAATTCAAAGTCACACCTTTATTTAAGAGGCTGAATGGATATATAAACACTATATATATATATATTTTCTCAAATATATATAAATATATATTTCATTTAATATGAAGTTAGCTTCACATTGTCATGTACCTTTTTGTACTGCATAAAAACAAAGGGGGAAAAAAGTCAGACTTTTTGTTATTTATAGGGAATTATGTTATGATTGTACTGGTCCAGCACACTTGACATTTAATTAACCAAATTAATTAATTTAAATGTAATTAACCACCCGTGGTCTAGACTAATATTATATATATATATATATACTCTCTATACATACATACATACATACATGTATACATATATACTGTATATATTTCAGATTCCAGTTTCTGAAAAGGCCTAGATGGTTTGGCCAATATAATGGTGGCAAAACTACAATGGCAGATGTGGTAGAATGTTGCCAAGTGTTGTAGCATTGATGGTAAAACTCACAGCAAGAAGATCCTCCTCCTCCTCCTCCTTCTCGTCTTTTAGGACGGCGTTTGTTTGGCTCCCAGTGTGTTTGTGAGTTTCCTCCTACAGTCCAGAGACAGACAGGATTCACTTAGTCGTTCCGTCTGAATTGACAATATATGCTGTATGTGTGTCAGCGTGAACGGTTATTTTTCTATACCAATTGGACTCGTGATTAAACGGTGGAGGGATAATTCTACACGGACAGAGAAGACCGGTCTGAACCAGTCTGTGGACTGTGTTAATGATCTAAGCTGTGACACATTAGACATGGCTGCAACAAACAAAGCAAAAACAGAGGTCATTTTCTAAAATTAGTTGCTGAATCTTAAATGTATAACCTGTTTTTCTTCCCATATTTAACCCCTTTTTTTACACAGGGTAAATATTGAATTCAATACTGCCACTGATCGCATTTATTCGGCAGGCATGATTTAAGTTAGTGATGGTAAAGATGGAAATGGGACGATCAAAGAGACAAAGCAACAGCTTGTTCCTGATCCGTGTTTTTTTTTCTGTAACAGATCGCACGATTACATGATTATGGTTTTTTGTTTTTTTTTTCCTGTAACAGATCGCACGATTACATGATTTAATTGCATAAATGAATTCCGCGTCATTGATCTGTGGGGTCACATTTAATTCCACGTGAACATGTGTGGAGTTATTAGCCGAGTTCCTCGCTGACGTCCTTCTACGGTGAGTTTCCTACTGTTTGGTAGAATAAGAGGCAGCAGAGGGTGTTTTCAATCTGACGGCACGCTGAGATCCTCCTGCTTTTTAAATGAGACTCATTTCAACTGTTCCCCCTTCACTGTCACCCGCCTCTGTTTCTGCCCGTGTTGTGAATAATGAATAATAACTGTCACACACAACTTACTGTTGAGTCTCTTTACCCGACCGTGTTCTCTAAAGTTTTGGACGCCTCCTGTGCCCGCAGGTCTCCTTGTTGGAGCTCTGGACACCGTGCTGGACTCAAACGCCAGAGTCATACCATTTCGCATTCTCCTCCAGGTTCCTGGCTCCCAGATCAGCTGGGTCATCGCCAGTGGTGAGCCGAAGCTTTCGAAAACAAGAATAAACTCTTCACTCATCAGTTTTTACCGACTGATCTTTTGTCTTGGTGTCCCACAGGAGCAGCCATAGAGGAGGTGAACAAGCACTGGGACTGGCTGGTCCACAACCTGCTGCACTCTCTGTCCGTGTTTGAGAACAAGGAGGATGTCGCCAGCTTCGTCAAGGGGAAAGTCAAGGTGTTAATTTGGATTTTTTTTTTTTAGTTGTTTTACGTTGGTTTTTTTTTCCGGTAAAATAAGCTCAACCCACTGGTCTCTTCTACACAGGGCCTCATCGCAGAAGAGGTGCGCAGCCGCCAGGCTGCCCAGGAGGACGACCCGGAGAAGTTCAGGGAGGCGCTGCTGAAGTTTGAGCTGCACTTCGGCCTCCCGTCCTCGGAGAAACTGGTGACGTTCTACTCCTGCTGCTGCTGGAAGGGCCGGGTTCCTCGACAGGGGTTCCTCTACCTCAGTATCAACCACATGGCCTTCTACTCCTTCCTGCTGGGGAAGGAAGGTGTGTATCACCACAAACAGGATTAGGACTACGACACACACACACCTAGGAAACCCACAGTGGATCAGCTTCTCATTGGTTGTTGGGGTTTGTCTCTGTTACAGTTAAGTTCATCATTCCCTGGGCTGATGTAATGCGGCTGGAGCGGGTCTCCGCCGGACTGACAGAGGCGATCAGGGTCAGCACCCGGCAGCGACAGAGAGAGTTCTCCATGTTCCTGAACCTGGATGAGACATTTGGGGTCATAGGTCAGCTGGCTGACATTGCCCTCAGACGGCTGCTGGACAGCGAGGGTCTGGAACTGGACCGAGTCCTGCAGCAGCCCACACGCATCACCAAGAGGTCAGTGCTGGCTCTCCTCCAATGAGAATCTGGGACTGTCGAGCTCAGTTGTAAATGTGTTTCGGAGCAGATGTTAGCTAAACTACGGCTAACAATTAGTCACAGCGCCACTAAATGGAAGTTTTTATATAGTTTGGTTTTAAGACACAAATATCTGAATGTAGGTAGAAGCCTCGACACATGGCAAAATAGCATACACCTACTTAAATGTCAATGAAACTAAGCTAACAAATTAGGTAAACTAGCTGAAGGTTAGTTAAACCCTAGCTCAAACACTGTAGTTAAAATAACTAATTTTGTTTGTTTTTTCTAAAGTGAATTTGTGTAATAACTGGTCGACAACAGGAGCCTGTAAAAGTCAAAAACTAGAATGCTAAAATGCTATGAGCCGTTTCTACGCCATCTACTGGAGAAATGCAGGCATTGCAGGGAAAAGGCAGAAGTATACTGATAATAGAAATGAATTACATAAATTGGACAAGTTTGAGGGGCCGGATTAAAAAGCCAAACGGGCCACATTTGGCCCCCAGGCCATAGTTTGCCCATGCCTGGTCTAAAGGAACAGTATTGATAGTGTTTTAAACCATATGTCTGTCCCTTCTGTCTATCGCCTCCTCTCCAGGATCCTGGAGGAGCAGGCCATCCGAGAGTACGTCCTCGCTCTGTTCCGTCTACCTCGCGCTGAGAAACTCCACGAGGTGGCGTCTTGCGCCGTGTGGACGCCCCACGCTCGCTGTCACACGAGCGGCACCTTGTACACAACCGACAGCTACCTCTGTTTCTCCGGCCGAGAAGAAGGCAGCTGCATCCTCATCATCCCCCTCTCGGAGGTACGGCACCCCAAACCGCGACACTATTTAGGGCAGACTTGGATTTTTAAAAAATGTAGCTGAAGTTGTGATTGGACAGCGATGTGTTTGTGTTCTCCTCAGGTGGTATCCATAGAGAAGGCAGAGAGCACCAGTTCGCTCCCTAACCCCATCATCGTCAGCATCAGGACCAAAAAGGCTTTCCAGCTGATCGAGCTGCAGAACAGGGACGAGCTGGTGGACAACCTTAACACCAGACTCAGAGCTATGCAGTGGAAACAGTCCATGTTCCGCAGCAGGAAGGACAGCAGGAAGAGTCTGGTATTTGAACTTTCTTTGTTTACATGTTTCTGTTCGGTCCAGAAATGGATCATGAGACTGTCATGAATTCAGTTTGCCATCGTTGCCTTTTCTCAGAGTTCTCCAACACCTTACTACACCTTCTACTACGACACCGGCTTCTCTGATGAAGAAGAGATAGAGGAGCAGGTTCTGAGGAACACCATCAACAGTGAGGCTTTGATGACAGCATTCCATCAAACCACAGCAGAGGCCAACGGCGGCGAGGTGAGGGACAGGTGGTGGGAAGCAGCACGGAACTGTTGAAGGGAACAAGGTCCTGTATGTCAGGGTTTATCTCTGGTGGTGTTTGTATCAGAGCCTGGAGCAGGTGAAGGAACGTCTGTGGAACAGTCACTTCTCAGATTTTGGCCGCGGGGTCCACATGTTCCGCACAGAGAAGATCCAGAGGCTGGTTGCCATGGGAATTCCCGAGTCACTGAGAGGAGAGCTATGGATGACGTTTTCTGGTGAGACACCGTCAAAAGTCCTCAAGGTCTAACAATAAATATAATATAAAAAACAATAAAGCAAGAGATCAATCAGGAGTCAGGAGCAGATAGATGGAGTGTTCGTGTGAACTAAGATAAATGAGTTAAAATAATTTTAGCCTTTTCTACGCCATCTATTGGAGAAATGTGGGCATTGCAGGGAAAAGACAGAAGCATAATGATAATACGAATCAATGACATAATTTGGTGGACCGGATTAAAAAACTGAATGGGCCACTGCCGGCCCCCGAGCCAAAGGTTACCAATGCCCGTTCTAGCCTATACCTTGCCAATGTTAAGCTGACAAGTATAACTTACTACAGAATGTACTTAATGTTTACCAAAACAGTATAGCACAAACAGTTGGAAGAAGTAATTGAACTTTGACCTTTGGTTTCTCACCCCGTGTGTGTGTGTGTATTGCAGATGCCTGCTCAGAGCTGGACTCTCATCAGGGCAACTACACCAGTCTGGTACAGAAGTCCATGGGTCAGAACAGTTTGGCCACAGAGGAGATTGAGCGTGACCTTCACCGATCACTGCCTGACCACCCTGCCTTCCAGAACCCGACTGGCATCGCTGCTCTGCGCCGCGTCCTCACAGCCTACGCACATCGCAACCCAAAGATAGGATACTGTCAGGTGACAATAAAATGGAAATTCTCAGATTAGATAAGTGCTACATTCTTCAGTCATACTGAAGTTGTTTTTTTTTTTCTTTTTTTAAATTCTCCAGTCTATGAACATCCTGGCATCCGTGCTGTTACTTTATGCCAAAGAAGAAGAAGCCTTCTGGCTGCTTGTGGCCGTGTGTGAGAGGATGCTGCCGGATTACTTCAATCGCAGGGTCATAGGTCAGTAAACAAAGGTCAAAGGTCAGCGGTATAATGGCAAAAGCACTATATTTAACTAGTGATAGAAATTATTTTTAAACGTTTGCATTTATAAAGGTTACACTTTTAAATGTATTAGACGAAAACGACAAGGACAAAGATAAAGGTGAATGTTCGAGGATGCATATTTGAAAGGGAAGGTTTATAAGACAGTAGTGAGACATGCTATGATGTATGGTTTAGAGCAGCAACATGGTGCCCAGGGCCCTGGTGGCCCACGTGGACTACCTAAGGTGCCCACGAGGTATGCTCTATGTTACTGTGCTTTCTGAATCAGTTCCACTTGCAGTGATATTCAAATGGATTCAATGACGATGATAAGAACAGAGTCTACTATTGTATGTCCCAGAACTGATTATTATTATATTGTTCAGGAAGTCTGTATCAAACAAGTAGCTCTTTGTATTACTGAGTACCCTTGGAGTAGATCACAGTTTCAAAAAGGTCGCTGACCCCTGGTTTAGAGACAGTGGTCAGACAAGAGGAAAACCTCAGAAATAGCTGGTGTAACATTTACCACTTTTAATTATCGTCTTTGCTGTAATTGAATCTGACTTGGGACAAGTTGCTTGCACATTGTCCTACAATGACTGTCTTGTCTGAGCTCAGATTTATTTTTACCTTGGGGGGAAAAAAGCCTTATTTCCTGTATTTGTGAAGCTGTATGTTAACGACATGCGTTTGAAACAAATTTCCGTTTCCGTGTTTACAGAAACAATCATGCACAGAGTGGATTTATGTCCTATTACTTTTGCAATTTTGCTCCGGTTGAAAAAAACAACATTATTGTTCATCATTTAATACATTCAGTGTTTTTAAATGGCTGTGGTCCAGTAAGTAAAGCCGTATTTTTTTAAAGCTGAAAAATAGAACCATATGAACAAATCAAATTATGGATTTGTGGCTTTTGTTATGGGTAATTGAGGCCATTTAAGATTAAAGTATGTTATAATTTTACCTTTTAGAACCATTTAGAATCAGATACACTGATTTTTAAGGTCAAACAGATGATGTCTTGTTTAACTTGTCAGTTTATCTTCTGATTCGTCCGACTGTGATGCTAATTTCGTTGTTTCGTCTTTCGAACAATTAAAAAAAAATAGTTCCATCAAAAGCAATTGGACAAAGTTTTTTTTTTTTTTTGAAGACGGTTCACCTCTCAATCAAGAGGCTTCTTCAGTTCTGACTGACGACTGGGAAATTCTGGTATTTAGCCTTCAGGAGGCTGAAGAGGCCTCTTGGATGAGAGGTGAAACGTCTTCAAAAAATCTACTTTGTCCAGTTGCTTTGGATGGAACTATTGTTTTGATTAAATGAGCTGGATGACTGAGAACCTACACAGACACTTTAAAACAATTCTTTCTAAAGGCAGATCGCTGATTGACCGAATTTCAGGTGTTTGGTGCCATCTAGTGGACAAATGTATAATTACAGAAAAAAGTAAAAGCATATGAAGATAAAGTATCTGTGACCTTTTTAATAAATATGAACAAATAAATGAATAAATACCTCCTCCCTCCTGCAGGAGCTCAGGTGGACCAGTCGGTGTTTGAAGAACTGATCCGGGAGCGTCTTCCAGAGTTGGCCGAACACGTTCCTGACCTCTCCTCGCTCTCCTCTGTCTCCCTCTCCTGGTTCCTCACCCTGTTTCTCAGCGTGCTGCCCTTTCACAGCGCCGTCCGTGTGGTCGACTGCTTCTTCTTCCATGGTATCAAAGCCATCTTCCAGCTAGGCCTGGCTGTGCTGGAGGCCAACGCTGCGGCTCTCTGTGCCTGCACAGACGAAGGACAGGCTCTGATGATTCTCACCAGGTAATGTTGATAAAGAACCCTAGGATTACTGAGCTAGCTTCACCAGCTAACTGACACTGTTTGAAACCTGTCTTTCAGTTTCCTGGACAAGGTTGGCAGTAAGGCCCCCTTTAGTCCTCCGCCGTCTCCAACTGCTGCAGAGGAGAGCAGCCACAGTGAGGCGGACAGTCCTGCCACGAGACACATCAACATCATTGACCTCATCAATGAGTCGTATGAGGTGAGAGTTAAAGCAGACTTCAACAGTTTAACTCTAAGGCTCCGTCTTCACACTCCACCACCGTGCTGTCTGTGTTTTGTTTTTTTGTTTTCTTTTGTCTGTAGCAGAAATTTGGAGACCTGACGGTGCGGCACATCGAGAGGCTTCGGTGTCAAAACAGAATCCGGGTCCTGCAGGCTCATGAAGACACGGCCAAAGAAAACGCTGTGAGAAAATCAACGATCAATGAACACACTCCAAGAAAGAATGACGCTAATTATTTCTAGTTTTTTTTTCCCCTCTTTTCCATCTATATTAAATATAAGCTGGAAAAAAAGGTGAAAAAATATGTGACAATATTTCCTAAAATAAGTAAAAGGTCCTTACCTTCTTAGACTGAAGACATACATAACACTAGACAGATAAAAAAAAAAAAAAAGGTTAATTCACACTTGAAATTTACTGGAATAACTTCAAAAGTTAGTTCAATTTAAAAAAAAAAAGTGACATTATTTTTCTAAATCTGTAATGAGATACATTTTGGCAAGAAAACTCGTATTTCCTTAATACAAGGCTTTTTCAAAAATCTTTTGTTGCAGAACACAATGCCATACAAAACGTACATTTTCACATAACAGACACGTGAAGTTACTGACAGAGGGTAAAGTCAAGAACAAGCAAGCGTTCTCTAGAGTGAGATAATACAGCGTTTACCATCTTAGGACGTTGTTAATATGGGGGTCCGTTCCGTTCCTATGGTACAACGACTCGATTTTCGCCGTAAGCCGCACACTGTACGTACCCATGTCACTCACCTATGCTAACACAATGGTAACTATAATCTAGGACATAAAAACTTCAGAAGAGTCTGACTCACACCTGGGAGCCATAATGAAGGGCAAAAGGTTCCCAAAAAACATCATATAAAAAAGAAAGTGAAAGTAGCACAATTCCAATGTATGGAGTTCAACCAGGGTATGTAAACAAAGCTATCTTTTAGAACAAAAGCTTAATAAACTTATGGGCGATGGCGACGTAACCACAAACCGCTGTGTCGACCAGGACGGGCGGAGACTGCTATTTTAAAGCTGTGAAGAAACTCTTCAGAATTTAACAGCAATAATATTCACACGTTATGACCAATATATTAATATTTTCTCTGTGTCTTTGCAGTTAAGACTCGTGACATCAGAAGTTTCCATCACTCCAGACGTCTTGTCGGACATCTACGATCTCTTCAAGGTATCACCTGATCCCGGCTTTGATAAATCACGCCAACAAAAACGTCATAGTGACTAACGACCCCCCCCCTCCCCCTCCCCACACACTCTCCTCCAGACGGAGCACTTCATCAGTCTGTACTGGGGTGACAGCAGCTCTGCAGCAGCAGCGGAGGCCGCGGCCTGGAGTCACACCACCTCCGGCCGCTCCTTCATAGAGCGGCAGTACCGCTTAGACCGCGCCCAGTTCAAGAGTCTGTATGGACTGCTGGTGCCGTGGCCGGGAGACCTAACACAACACAACGACACGGTGGCCAACCGCACCTTCACTCTGCTGGACCAGGACCACGACAACCTGGTGACCTTCAGGGAGTTCGCTGGTTGGCTGGGTAGGTCGGAGAAATTATAACGGACAGGAGTGAATTAAACAATGGCTCAAGCGGTTTAATAAACTCTCTCTCTCTCTTTTTTTTTTTTTTAGACACCCTGTAATGTGAAGAGCTGAATGAGAAAATACGACTGTTGTATCGACTCCACATTCCACCAGGTTATTCACCGTGCCGTCATTTAAAACCGTCGTCTTAGAATTAAGTCGTAATATTTTTATAAATGTGAAAAAGTGTGTCTTTTCCCTTTTTAAAACACATCAAAATTCACGACTTTATTCTTCTTTTCTCATAAACTTAACATTTTTTCGCAAAATGTACACAACTTTTTTTCCTCACAAACATAACTACAAACTAAATATCTTTGTAAATTTAGATATTATCGGTCGACTGGTTTTATCAGCCCGATGTTAGGATATTATGTAATATCTGTAAGAATCGTTAACACTTTTTGAAAACCCGAAAACGTAATGCCTGGGTTTCTCTCCAAATGATGTGTACCCTAAAAATAGTTTTGGGAATAAACGACTGTATGTTGAAGTGAAAGTCACTAGATGGCAGCATTGCAGTTCATTTAATTAATCTCATACTCATACAGTGGCTGGTATAGGTAAATAAATATTACCAGGCCTATATCGGTATCAGTTGATATCGGAATCGGGAATTAAGTGTTTGGACAATAATAGCATAATGGATATTGGTAAATAGTTGATATCGGACATCCCTAATTGTTACTCGAATACTCATCGTAGTGCTTACACATTCACACACGTAAATAAAAAAAGCAGACGGGTGAGGAAATTAGCTTGAACCTCCCAAAATGAATACGGAATAAGAACTGATGCTAGCTCAAAATTAGAGCATTCTACGAAAGTGTTCTCTCACAGTTAACAGAATGTTCCGTCTCTTTTTAAACACTGTACTCCTTTGTCCCTAAGTCCATATTAATAAAACATTAACATTTAAAAAAAAAGTCGTGGCTTAAATGTTTTAAAGTAGTTTTGAAGTAATTTAGTTGGATTTTACCTCCAAAAAAAAGTACAAGTTTATTTTTTCCGCTCTGTCTCTAATGGCCGCCATGTTGGCAGCCAGCAAGTACAAGACAGTGTCTTTGTGACTGAGTCCAGCTTGTGTCTCTTCAGCTCTGACAGAGAGCGAGAACGACCCCTCCCTGATGAAGAGTCCACTGCTGTCCACAAACAGACCTCTCTATCTCACCAAGAAGATGTCTGGTTGGTCCAAGTTGTTTTTTTCCCTCTTCCTGTAGATGATGTTTGGTTGAACAAATGTGACAGTGACTGCCTCTACAGGTGATGAAGGTGAAGTGAAAGAAAATTACCAGGAGCAGCTGAAGCAGATGCTGCAGGATTTGGCCAAAGAGAAGGAGAAGGATGTGGAGAAACCTCTGCCTCTCATGAACCAGGTAAAATACCGTCCGCTGACCCTCAGAGGTGGTGCACTGATGGAGACCATGGGAAAGAAAAGCTATTCATGAAACCCGTGAGAATGTATTTCGGAAGTTAAAGTCCTTCATTTCTTCACAGAGGGAGTTCATCCAGTTCTGTAAAACGCTCTACGGAATGTTTCACGGAGAGTCGGAGGAGAACGAACTCTTTCAGGCCATCGCCACCGTCACCAGCCTGGTGCTGCAGATCGGAGAGGCCAGCCACCGTGCACACACTCCCGGATCAGAGGAGACCAACCAGGAGGAGGCCAAGGAGTCAAAAATGCCATCCGAGGAGTGGACAGTAAGCTACGCTCAGATTCTGGCGTCACTGCTGACTGAACAGGCCCTGGTGAACTTCTTTGAGAAGACGGTGGATCTGTCGGAGAAAATCGTGGACGCCAAGGAGAAGCAGTATCAGCAGCGAGCAGGTCTATTGACTCTGCAGCAGAGGAGAAGCTGATGTTGAAGCCTGTGACGCTACATTCTCAGTGCCTGGAGGCCAAGCAGAGCAGAGGGCCTGAACCTGATGTTTGATCCCATTATAATCAATCTGTGAAAACCTTTTTTTCTAACTGACATATCAAAGGTCCAATGTGCTACAGTTCAGCTCCATCAGATGTCGCTGTTGAGTACGTCGGACCCAGATGTCTCCTATTGGACTTTTTTTTTTTTGCATGAGTTGCTGCCACAATAACATTCTTTTATCAATGCCACTAAATGGGAACCTTTTTATAAAAGCATTTTACAACTGGTGACTATTACAAATGAGTATAAACTAATGCATTAAAAGATCATTTATTTATAATTGCCTTTTAAGCTCACAATTCATAAACCTCACCTTTTTAAACAAATGATTACTTTACTGCTTTACAGTTGATAATAATTAAGGTTAGGTGTGAAACACTGACTAGAACATTGTCCGAAAAAAGCAAGTGTTTTTTTGTTTTGTTTCTTTTTTTCCCTCTTTACCATTTTAAACACGTTATTTTTTTTTTTGTTTTAAACTCATTCCTTAAAGGAATTGTTTAGAAAAATAGCAACACTGGAGTAATTTCAAATAAAACACACTGAAAAACCTGGTCAGCGTAAGCTGTGTCAATTCCTGTTATTTAGCAAAGAGCAGTGATATCCTTCGCATACCAGTATATATATTGATACTATTACTACTATTGAGTACCTGGTAATATTTATTTATCCGTACAAACCACTGTATGAGTTGCTGCCACAAGTGTTCTGCATATAATCCTGATTATTAAAATAGATTACTAGAACGAGCGGCAACGCTGCCATCTAGTGACTTTCACTTTCACATACAGCCTTTTTTCCCCCAAATCTATTTTTAGGGCACACATCATTTGATGAAACCCTGGCATTGCGGGTTTTCATTATCCGAGTAAAAACCGATGACAATTCTTACAGATATAAGTAAAAACATGATGACAATTCTTACAGATATTACACAATTATGATAATATTGTTCGGCCGATATTATCGGAGATCCCTGGCAAAGAGTCAAGAAGAAGTCATTATGAAGTGGGTTAAGTTCGGAAATAACCTGGATTAAAATTCTCAGGTTCAGCTGTTCTAAGGACAGTAAGAAGACAGGGTTGAGATTTGAGGTGTGGAGACTTTGCTTGAAGGACAGATAAAGCATCCAAGAAGAGGAAAATAGGAAGGCACCACGGAAGATCCCAGAAGGTTTTGGAAGAAGAAAAGACGGCCAGACACTTCAGTACAAAGCAGCCTGGTTGTCTCACCTCGTCTTTATCAGCGAGTTGTTCTCCTGACACCAGGGTCTTTGTCACACTCACACACACATCCACCATGATCATCTTCTACTGTCGTTTTCGTCGCTGGAGCCATTCTTAGGTTTCCCTGTTGTTGAGAGCATGTGTTAACAGAGCAAAAACTTAAAGAGACACTTGAAGTTTTCTTTACTGTATATATATATATGTTTAATACTAGACATACGAATATAAAGGGCATTTCCTTTTGGCCACCATCATGCATGGAGACATGAAGAGTGAGCATGAAAGGACGGAGGCGGAGCTTTGCAGGAGCTTAGTGTGCTTTATTAGCTACTGATTAAAGGTAGAGGACGTGGGTAAACCCAGGACCTAAATCATCGGAGGAAACAAAACACACAGGTTTCTATGATTGGCCAGCCTTCAGTGGGAGAGGAGGGAAGACTGAGGTTCGTCTCAAACAACTCCAGGAGTGCTTTCATTGCGGAGGAGGTAGATGTTAGCTTCACCCCTTCATTACATTTCCATATTCTAATCCTTCACGGCAGAGTCAGAGCTGCTACAGCTCTATCTTTCTGTCCTTCTCTCTCGTGTATGTTTTATATATATATATTAAATCTTTTTTTTCTTTTTTTGACATTTACAAAATAATAGGTCAGGATCTATGTGAGTGTGTCTTAGAGCATTTAACGTCACACGTGGCGTGTGATTCTGTATAATCGGATATGTGTATGTATGAAAATATGTCACATCCACAGTCAACAGGGGGCAGCAGCGGCTTATGAGTTAAACGAGGTTTACAAACGAAAGAAGAAAAAAACAAAAAAAAAACAAGCACTTTTAAATACTAGTAATCTAGGAGAGCCTACACACGAGCTACACGTTGCACAAAGCTGTGGTTGCGACCACACTGTGACCCGTTGGTTTTGACATGTGGATGCTTGACGTCCACCTCTGCTGACGGCCAGCGGGCAGACTCTGAATTGAACTTTTTAAACGGCTTCAATGTAGTTGGCCGGCAGCATGCCGGTCTTGCCGGTGCGCTGCACAGTGCCGTACATCCAGCCCTCATCGATGGACTGCACGTTGACGATGACGTCACCGTCCTTGAAGGAAACCTCGTCGTTGTCGGCAGCGGCGTAGTCGTACATGGCACGTACGGTTTTCTACGGAAAGGACAGGAAGTCAGAATAAAGAAGTATAGGGTATAAGGATGAGAAGAAAAAAAATAAGAAAAATTAAAGTAATGTGGGAAAATATTAACATAAAAAACATCTTTAAACGTCACCGCAGAAATGTCTGTAAAACCTGAAGCCTAGTTCACGGTCTTTGTGTTGCAGAATTTGGGTTCCAGCTTTGAGACTGACATTCTTAGTTTCTTTTTCACTGCCCAGCTTTCCATTTAGTCTCTGTTTTCTGCTTCCTGTCCACCTCTCTCTGCAATAGCCCTGCCCCGGGGCTGCGCCCACATCTTTGGGCACCTGTGAAGTGACTGTATTGCTATTAAGCGTATTAGCAATTTAGCTAGTGTGACTTACTCCCGTGGTGGATGGGTGTGAGGGGATAGAGGACACAGTGGTCTGCTGAGTGGCCACAGATGATGACCTCTGCTGCAGCTCCACAGTCTTAGCCTGTTGGTAGCCTACAAGAGGACGAAACAGGGTCAAGGTAAGGAATGCCGTTTTTGACAAAGAAACACAATTTGTTTTTGTTGGTTCGTGCTGTGCTTTTAACCTAAGGATGTAGTCATGAAACCGTTGCTGTAGAGGGACATGTGGTGGTCCACATCCTGGGACACCTCAGATTTCTCATCAGCCACTCCGCTCAGAGCGCTGGTGGAGCGTGAGTGCTCCTTGCTGCGACGCTGGGCTTGAACTGGGTTCAAAATCCCACAGAACACATTTAACAAAAACAACAACTCTCTATGCCAGATCATCCAATGTAGTATTTACACCACAGGTGTCAAACTCATTTTAGTTCAGGGGCCACATACATCCTAATTAGATGTCAAGTGGGCCGGACCAGTACAATTATAACATAATATAGACATATAAATAACAATAAGTCGATGTTTTCCCACTTTGTTTTCAATAACAAACTACAAATAAGTATATTAGAAAAATCCACATATTTAATAAAATATAATTTAACAACACATTTACAAACATAAAGTGTTTAAAAAAATATATATATATATTTTAAATTCATCAAGTGGGTCAAATTGAATCCCCCAGCGGGCCAGTTTTGGCCCACGGGCCGTATGTTTGACGCCCCAATCTACACCATTAAGGAATAAATGGTATATATACAATACGGTATAATGCTTTTGTGTGACCAATCATCTCACCTGACATCATATGCAGACTCCTGGATTGGATGTTGTCTTCAGCAGGGTCATAATCAAAGACAGAGCCTGGGTTTGTGCGCCACACGCGCAGATCTTAACGAAAAAAAAAAAAACCAGCTGTCAGGAACTGACCCCAGAAAAAAAAAGGCTTATTTTAACTAAACTGTTAAAAGTGCGAGGATTGACGTACCAGTAATGGTCTCGTGGTCGTGCTCTATTGCGCGTCTCCTCTCCATCTCCACCACACGTCTCTGGATGCCACGGTAGTTAATGTCACTGAAGTCCTGCATGTTTTTCTTCACACGGTCAGTCACAAGGTCAGAGGTGGTGGCAGTGAAGCTGCCCTTGGATTTCTCAAAGTCCTCATGATACCTCACCTAAAGAGCACAGGTAAAGAATGGGCTCATTTATTGACAGAAACTGAAGCATTCTTAAAGCACTTGTCACTTGTTAGGTACGTTTGATTTATCTTAAAAGTATTCTTTGACAGGAACACAAATAATAATTTTTTTGCTGCTAACAAACTTAACAGTCCCAAGAGTAAAGAACTTAAATTGATAAAAGCTACACAAGCAGTTAAAATTGTTTTCCACTAAAACTGAGATATGACTGAAAGGATAAAAAAAATAACACAAGTACAAGAACTCAAGCACAAAGTCTTACTCCAGAGATGATGCGCTGGGTCTCCCTGACACGTCTCATTTCAGGCGTGTCCAGGACGAAGGCTGCCTTGCCCTGAACCTGCTTACGGAAGCTGTCGGAGTACAGCACCTGGTGGAGAATACGAGAACAGCAGCAGAAGATACACGGTGAGTACGCTGAAAAGGGAATTTGGGCCTTGATTTAACATGAATAGCTGTTGTTAGCAGGAGGAGGGGGTGTGGCAGAGTAAGAGAACAGACAGAACGACAAAGACAGACAAAGAGGTACTAGGCCGCTACTGGGATTTCAGACACATTAATTGGAGGGGATTTTTATATTAAGAGGCTGACTACTTTCTAGGGTCTACTCAGACGACGGACTCGCGTGAACAGATGTTATAGCAGTGATGATGTGCGCAGACACACACCACAGACATTGTGTATTAAAAACACATTTTTTTTACAAGAGAAACAGCAGAGAATTAATATGATTAACCAGAGCCTGAGGGGGCCACGTCAGTTAGGGGAAGGTTAAACGGGAGGTTTCTGGAGCAGAACACGTTCTTGCAGTGGTTCTGAAAAGTACCGAGCTAATGTTTTCTTGGTTCCGTTTGACTCGCTCCATCTCTGGAGTGAACACCACAGGAGTTCCCTTGATGGAACTGTCTTTATACAAAACCTACAGGACAGAAGGAGAGTCAGAAACACCCTGAAGTGTACACACAACACATAGTCAACACTTATAGGACTGCTTTCATAGACATGGAGTGAAAGAGGACACAGGGGGAAAAAAAGGGTTTTTTTTGTTTTGTTTTTTTAAACAGGGAATGTCAAGATGAACTGATGTCACAGAGAAGAGTCTGTGCATTTTTCACACTTTTTTGGGGTTTTGGAATAGACACAGTGTCTGAGAAATAAAGTCCTATAGAGTGATTGGTCCTGGTAGCTCCCGACAAACTGCCAGGATCTACTGCAAAGATGAAAACACACCCTTTGAGCTATAGCAGGAAACTGAGCTTGTCATTCGCTGTGAAGTAGAAACTTAGTTAAGCATCACACAAGTGAAGTTGTAATCAAGACAGTTCTGGATCAAGACAGTTCTGGGTCATCAGAACGCATCTTAATGTCAAGTCCTGGTCAGCTAGTATGTCCATGTCATGTCTATATGGCAGTGGTCACCAACTACTTTGATTTTGTCAGAATTTTTCTGGACAGACACATTGGGGGTCGGACAAACAAATAAATTTAAATAAAATTACTATTTGATGATTTTGAAATCCAGTCACGGGATTGGACAGCGGGCCGAATTTGGCCTGCGGGTTGCCAGTTGATAACCACTGCATTATGGGTTAATTTGGGCTAAACTTAGCTTTGAATGAAGCAAATTAAAAAATTCATCTGGAAAAGGAACCAGTGTTTTAAATTGATTATATTGATATGTTTTATGGCTAATGTATATAAACTAAATAGATGAGTGAAGCAAAAAAAAAACAGTGGTCTTGTCAAGGGTCTCCGTCAATTTAGTAGTGAATACAACACTACATCACACAACTGCTGTAGGGATAGTTTAGTCGTTGAAGTGTGACTGTATAAAACTGACAACCCAGAGGTGGCGTTAGCTCTGCAGCCTGAAAGTCTGCAAATCTTAGTGCAAAAATTAGTGCAAAGTACAATTGTTCGGCTTCTCCCACAAGTCTATATATTTAAAATGTTTAAAAATGTCTCAATTCAGGTTTAGCCACCGATCTACTGTAAAAATAATTATAAAATTTATGTGGGAATTCCAGGATCTTTAGGGCTCTTCCGTAGCATATGAAGCTAAGCAGTTAGCTAAACTCAGTGGTGACAACAGGCCAGGATGTCGACACATGAACGGAGCCATCAGGGGTGTCAGTGCTTTGTACAACCACACTTCCTAATAAAAGCTTCTCTACAGGTTAGGGAAAAGTGTTCAAAGGAAAGTGTGAAACTCAGATTGACAGGGCAATAAATGAAGATGAAAGAAGTTTTGAACAAAGAAAAGAGTGTGAATGACAATAGAGACAGTAGCGGGTTGAGCTGCCGCAGATTTGGGTCTTAGTTTGAGGTGGATGAGCGAAGGATGAAGAAAGCGTGAAATGAAGGCAAGGGAAGCAGAGGAGCTCAGTACTGATAAAAACTACGGTCCACTCTCAACTGTTAGCAGCACACGTGGTTTGGTTGTTTGTTTTTTTTGTTTTTTTTTTGGTGAACTACCGAGCTGATGTTCTTCTGGGTTTGTTTGACCCGTTTCACTTCAGGCAGGTCCGATATGGCTGTGGCTCGACCCATAGAATCCTTGTATTTTATCTGCCACATGAACAGTTTGGGTTTTGGGCAGAGAGAGAGAAAGAGATAGAAAGAGAGAGTGGAAGGGGGGAAAAGTATAATAAAAGTCAAATAAGAGACACATCTGCAAATGGCCAAAGAGAAGGACACAACACAGCAAAAAAAAAAAAAAAAAAACAAAACAAAAAAAACATAAATCACTGCAGACATGGAACATGGAACTCAACACACACGCCTCTATTTGTCCTGAATCACTGCAGACATGGAACATGGAATTCAACACACACGCCTCTATTTGTCCTGAAAAATGAAGAAGCAGGTTAGGTTAGCTGACTTTGGTTTAGACGTTCAAACGACCGGTGATGACTGAGGAGTGTGTGTTACGATGAAGTGCGTTTGAGGGAGATGAAGAGAGGGAGGAAGATGAGGCGAATGAATGTTGAACAAGAGCAGGATAACACAGGTACCGTGCTAATGTTCTGCTGATTGCGTTTAACTCTCTCCATCTCGGGCGTCTCTGATACTGACGTGCCTCGTCCCACTCCTTCTTTGTACTGAAGCTTTGGACAAAACAACACAAACACTGTCACCTGTACGCATTGGTTATACTGAAGAGACACTTTAGGAGGAGGAAGAAAACCCAGGGAAGAATACAAACTAAGGGAAGGGTAGAAAAAAAAAAGAGTGATTGATGAAGTTTCGTTAAGATGAAGGAGGAAAAAAAAAACTACTGAAAACACAAAAAGGAAAAAAATTGGGAAGTTTTGAGATTAAGAGGGAGAGAGGTCACACTTGAGTGTCACTGCAGTCTGTTTCTGTTTCTATACCGAGCTGATATTCCTCTGGGTTTCTTTGACCCGCTTCATCTCGGGCAGATCTGGTATGGCTGTGCCCTGACCAACAGACTCCTTGTACTGATTCTGTTTGTTCATACAGGTGACACAGGAACAGAGTCAGACAGTCGCACGTACAAAAAGCACAATTTGAACGGTAGACAAACACAACGTCTAAGAATTTAAGGGTCCAGTGTGAAACAGGGGAGAGGGCAGCACAGATGTAAAATATGGTTAAATCATCGGAAAGGGGAGAGGGTTGGCAGCACAGATGTAAAATATGGTTAAAATTATGTATAATTTTTGATCATTTCTTTCTATAACCTGGAAATAGACATGTGCCATTTGCATCCTAACCATTAGATGTCACCATTTCCTACACACTGGTCCTTTAAAGTTCTTTTTGAAACATTAAAACAGGTAGATTCAAAGAAAATGTAAGTCAAACTTAGGAAATATGTATGAACTGTTTTTACTTTTCACTCATTTTTAAAACAGTAATCCTTGAATTGTAACTTGCTGCAGTTAAACCGTTAGAGGTCATGACCTGGTCATTAAACAAGGACAATTCATGACTCCAGTGGCTCTTGTAATGTTATTAAGATGAAGCCGTTCCACTATGTCAGTAAAGACAGAGGTTTTTCAGGGTAAGTTGTTTGACATCAGGAATTAATTCTTACTTACTATGCTTTGAGTTAAACCATTGTTTTTTGAATTGAAACTAGGCCTCAGCTATCTCCAGCTTATACGAGTAATTATCAACAATGGAAAAAAAATAAAAAATCACACAGACACCTGATGTTCCTATCAAAGGCTGGTGAAAATCATGGAAGTCAGTTAAGATGGTGAAGGGGAAAAAAAACCACCAGAGGTTTAGGTTTGGAAAAGGGAGAAAAAGTCAGAGGGTGTTTTTCTGGGGACAGTTAGGAGGTGAAGGGTCACTGCAGTCTGTTTCTGTTTCTATACCGAGCTGATATTCCTCTGGGTTTCTTTGACCCGCTTCATCTCGGGCAGATCTGGTATGGCTGTGCCCTGACCAACAGACTCCTTGTACTGATTCTGTTTGTTCGTACAGGTGACACAGGAACAGAGTCAGACAGTCGCACAGGGACAGACGAAAAAAAGCACAATTTGAACCGTAGACAAAGACACAACAATTTGGGCGTCTAAAATATTAAAGTCCAGCGTGCAACATTGGAAATGTATGAAAATGTTACTGCATAAATAAAGAGGGCTGGCAGCACAGATTTAAAACTGTGCTAAAAAGGATATCCTTTGTTTCTGTAGCCTGACAATAGATATATGTTTAACGTGTCATTTACACCCTCACCATTAGATGTCACCATTTCTTACACACTGGTCTTTTAATATTCTTCTTGGGACATTACTGTAAAAATGTATAGCTACTCTATATACAAAAAAAAGTACCATAAAATATATACAGAAAATGTTTACAAATCAGGCATAGGCAAACTAAGGCCCGGGGGCCGGATGCGGCCCGTTCTGCTTTTTAATCCGGCCCACCAAACTTTTCCAAATGATATAATTTATTTAAGTTATCATTATACTTCTGCCTTTTCTCTGCAGTACCCACATTTCCCCAATAGATGGCGTAGAAAATGATAAAAGCATTTCAGCTTTTTAGCCTTTATGCATGACTTAACACCAAAGCTCCATCTATCTGCCTGTTTAGTTTTAGGACAATTGTGGCCCGCGAGTCAAAAAGTTTGCCCACGCCTGGTCTAAACTGTTTTAAAAAACTAATAGTACTCCATTTTTTTTAACTTAATACAGTAATCCCTAAACTTTGGGCCATAAATATGCTGCAGTTTAACCAACAGAGGTCATGACTGGGCCATTACACAACATTCATGACACCTGAGGCTCCTAACATCAAACTTCCATCAAGGACTGGGGAAAAATGAGCTCATCATGGAAGTCAGTTAAGATGGAGAAAGGAATGAAGGAAATCCAGGAATAAAAACACCACAGTGTTAAGATTGGAAAAAGGAGAAAAAGTCAGAGGGTGTTTTTCTAGGGACAGTTAGGAGGTGAAGGGTCACTGCAGTCTGTTTCTGTTTCTATACCGAGCTGATATTCCTCTGGGTTTCTTTGACCCGCTTCATCTCGGGCAGATCTGGTATGGCTGTGCCCTGACCAACAGACTCCTTGTACTGATTCTGTTTGTTTGTACAGGTGACACAGGAACAGAGTCAGATGGGAACAGAGATACAGTTTTTCACAGATTTTGTATAAAATTTAAAATAAAAGAAGGAATATTTTTAACACAATAAAATCATACATGGGGAAAAAAACTAAATGGTCACTAGATGAAAGGGTCACTTCTGGTTAGAGTTTTTCTAGTGAGCTAATAATGGAGGCGGTAAGGGGAGTTTTTTGGAGGAGATGAAGGAGGGCAGGGTCACTCTGCTGTGTACCGTGCTAATGTTGCGCTGGTTGCGTCTAACTCGCTCCATCTCAGGTGTCTCAGGCAGAGCTGTTCCGCCTCCCAAATCCTCTTTGTATTGAATCTTAACATGGATGAGGAATAAGAGTTTTATTCAGCTCCAACCTGAGTGAGCTGCTCTATCACGTCATCCTCGTTTTTATGTTTGGACAGAGCCACACAAATATTTTAAACAAACAACATCTAAATCAACACATAACATCGATGACAACATCAACAACGTCACAGTGAACAACAACTCGAACAACACCACACAAGCTCCGCACTTACAACTACAGAACAAACTGTCAGGGATTAGTGGCATCGATTTAGAGGCCACACATTTGAGAAGTTTTAGATTTGATCTGAAGAAAACAAACGGATGTGTATTAGGTTTGTCAAATATTAGCATGAGGAAGTGAACGTTAAAACTCCAAACTAAGAAGTCGTATTATTAGAGAATGTTAAAAAAAAAACAAAAACATGAATGTATGTATTATAGGGTAGATACCAAGCTGAAATTCTTTGTATTCTCTTTAACGCGCTGCAATTCGGGAGTGTCGGCTACAGAAGACACTTTTCCCTTTATGTTTTTATGGTCAAGCTGGTACTGAAGCTACAGGGAGAAAAAGACAAGTGTGATTACAGGGTTGTGCAACTTGACATACAAACATTCAAACTAAAAGAAAGAGACCAAAAGAGACACAAAAAGTAATATTAAAAACAAATAAACGGTGATTATATCCTGCGTTCACACGGCCTCACATTATCAGAGCAAAAAAACAACAACACATAATTCAAAACTCTATGAATATTGTTCATATACTATAATGCAAAGTTAGCAAAACTCCTTTTATCTCACTGTGAAATAACCAAATACAGTATTTTGATGATGAATGAACTGTGTGAAGTGTTCGTGGGCTGGAAATGGCCCCGGGCCAGGAGTTTGACAACACTGCTTTAGATGCTTTCATGTTGCACATTTTTGCTATCAAAACTACTGTATTTGCAGTAAACGAGAAAGTTAACAAGAGTTTAGAGAACATTACACTAACAAAACCTAAGTCTTTTAGGTATAAAGGATAATACTTGACAGAAAACATGGAGACATACAGAACACAAAGCCGTCAGAAAGATAGAAAAAAAAATAGAGGAAAATGTTGGCTCCATGAACATGTGATTCATTTATCATTGGATTAAAAAAAACTAAAAAAACTAAAAAACAACTTACGGTGCTGAAGTTCTTCTGGTTCTCACGGACTCTCTGCATCTCAGGAGTGTCCAGAACTGGAACATAGTGAGACATGGTCTTCTCTGCATCCTCCCTGTATTTTTTCTGCGGGACAAAATACAGCAATGTATTCCCCATCTGCCTCGATTGTATCAGCGACAAATCAGTGTACAAATAATTAGAGAGTTTGACGGGGTCCTAAATCAAACCACCCTACAGGGGAGCAGCTGTATTACAACAAGTAAAAGCACAACAGCCCTTTCCATATTATATTTCTATTTGCTTGACCAGATATAATTTAGAGGGTGTAGGTTGTTTCTGCCAAAATATTTGTTTGTTCCACAGTAATAACTGAAACACTGTCACTTCGACGCAACAATATAAACAGTTAAACTACTTAAGTTTTTTAAAACAGTTTACTAGATATTCAGCCCTTTTCAATATTTTACAGTAATGTCACCAGGGGTTGAAAAAGTACTAAAAAATGTAATAAAGTAAATAAAAGTACCATCTAAAAACTACTCAATTACAGTAACTTGAGTAAATATAATTCATTACTTTCCAGCTCGGCATGTCACATACCTGGCTGACCATGTTCTTCATCTGCTGAGCGTGGATGATGTCAGGGGTGTCGATGACGGTGGTGTAATTGGCTCGGTCCATTTCAGCGATATGCTTATACTTTGTCTGTAAAACCGCAAAAAAAAACAAAACAACAGTTGTCAGTCAACGAGCTCCTGTGAATGTGATGATACGACAGCAGGATCCAGACCTGACTGAGGATGTCAGTGGCGTTCCTGGCCCTTTGGAAGTCTGGTGTGTCTGTAGCCAAAGCCATCATTCCCTTGCCCTTGATCTCCTGCTCCAGTGACTTCTTGTACTCTCTCTGTTAACGGGGAAGGAGATAAGAGTATGAGATGATCGTCGAAATCGTATCACGGCCGGCTCATTATTGAGAGACTATGTTCTACTCATTCACACTAAGTGGGGGCTGCACAACCATGTGGCCTGGGGGGAAATGGTGAACAAAGATGGTTAGAAGAAATTAGGGCTTTTGTTTTAGATTGATTGGGTGTGAAGCTCCACACAAAACTGGAAAATAAAGTCAGCTGTGGTTAAAGGCAGTTTGTTAAAAAAAAAAAATTAGTTCTTTTTTTAAGATATTTTGGTTAAACTTCTACATTTTCAGTTCTATAAAAAAATAAGGACTAAAGAGTTCCCCATCTACGTTTCCCTTCAACAAGAAACAACCTCAGGACAATTGATAAATGCTAATGAATTAGCTGTATTTCTTTTCAACAACAACTGATTTCTCAAACTGTAACTGTAAAAAAGTATAGGTTTTGTATTGGTGTACAAGCGCACAGCAGGTAAAGCAAATATCTCGGAGGAACTCTGAGGTTGTTTCCTGAAATAAAGGGATGAATATTAGTTATCAAGAGTAATCAAGCAGAAACAGGACTCCAGTCTCCTTTTAGTGATGGATGAAGCTGAGTTAAGGAGGAGACAGGATTCAGCAGGTTGGTGAGCCGGGAGTTGGATTATGACGATGCTGACTGCATCGGCTTTTCAACGAGTCATACCTCACACAGGATTTGAGTGGCATTCTTTGCTCTCATAAGTTCCGGAGTTTCCTCCAGTACAGTTAGCCCTTTACCCTTCACCCCCTCTTCTAGATCCCTCCTGTACACTTTCTACAGGACGGAAGAAGAACAGAGACACTGCAGAGAAGGGCAAGAAAGGCAGAACCAGGCCAGGCAGAGACAGACAGACCAACAGACAAATAGTCCCCCCCGTGGACAAACTGACGTTTGTCCTTCGAGGTCAAAGTCACCACATCTCTTCCACTAATGAATTAAATAAAACACCCTCTTTATATCCACTGTGACCAAGGTATTCAGGTATAAGACTTTCAATATTTAATACATTTATTGTAACATATTCAGAGTCAATAAGACCTACTGTTTTGGTCACTTATGATTTAAACTAGGCGTGTCAAACATACGGCTTGTGGGTCAAAACCGGCCGGCTGTGGGGTTCAATCTGAATGAGTTTGACACCCCTGCTTTAAAGAGTAAGGTAAGGTATACAATTAAATTATTTTAACTTAAAAAAAATTGTGGCTTTACACAAATTACGGATCACTTCCAGTGCTGCTCTTACAGTCTGACCACAAAATGTAGTAACCAATAAAAGTTTAGTCATAAAGTAGAAGATAGAGAAGCTGGTGACTTTGATGAACCAAAAAAAGATCCTGGTAAAGGACAAATTGAACCACATTTCATCAAACAGAGTAAAACAAATCCACATCACAACAGTTCAAAGTGAGTGTTTCACCTTTAAAAGAAAACGTGTCTGGATCATTCAGAGGACGCATGCTGACGTGCAGAGGCTTCAAATTCAGCTACAGTACAGGAAGGGTTTTATTCCTACATATAACAGATTTCAACATTGAACACATGGGAGGAATAATACGTTCAGGTCGGTGCGGTGACTCATGCAGAAGAATAGAAACTACTATTGAACTGAAGTGGGGAAGGAGAAAACACTGGTGGGATTAGAGATAAGAGTGGAGATTAAAAAAAAAAAGGAGAAGGACCAAAGTTGAGATTAAATCTTAGTGTGATTATAAAAACGGGTTGGAGGGTCGATGGTGGTAATTTGGTTACCTCACTGGCTATTTTGGTAGCATGTCTGACATGTAACATAGCAGGGGTGACCTCCAAGCCTGAGAGGTTCTTGCCCCTCATGTTCTCCTCATAGTCCTTCTTATAGTCTTTCTATTGGCCGCAGAGACAAGGACAAGGACAAGGACACATCACAGATAATCCACATGCAGGCAGATCAGGTTCACCGTTCAGCATACAGACGAACACCGCTGTTGTCTACAATATTAAAACCTGTTTCTACTTCAGAACCTAGAATTAGGAATGAAGAATCATACATTTTGACTGCAGACACCAGGATATACATTGAGTGTTTTGGGGAATAATAACAACTCCTGTTTGAAGTGTGACGGGAACTGTCGGAATGGAACTTAAAGCAGGCAGCTTTCTGATTGGCTGGAAAATTTTCTGCATTTTTAAACTCTTATCTAAAGTAACAAGTTGAAGCAGGAAAGATGAACTGACACTGGAAACATGCATTTTCATACTTGTCTATCAAGAGTCATTATTTTCAACAAACTTTCACTGCAGTGGAAATGCTACATGTAAAGAAGCAAAACCTATTTAGATCCTGGAAATGGTTTCTAAAGTTAAAGTAACACATCTTAAATTGTTTCTGCCTTCCCCAAACCTAATTTATACAGTAGTTTAGGGCAGGGGTCACCAACATGGTGAAAAACTAGTCAACAAGAGGGTCAAAAATTGTACTGTTACTGTGCTTTCTGAATCAGTTCCACTTGCAATGATATTTAAATGGGTGCAATGAAGTTACTCTCACTTTCAAAAAGGTCGGTGACCCCTGAGCTAAGGATTAACATAAGAACAGTTACTGAACTTGAACTCTAAAACCAGTAAGGCATGAAAACTTTTATACAAATGAATATTAAACTGCAGGTTAATGAATATATATATATCTATATTTTTACCAGAGCTTGTTACTGAAGAGTGTTGCATCTGCAGCTTTAAAAGTAGAGATTCACACACAAAGCCTTTCCATTGTCCTACCTGGCTCTGCATGTGCTGGGCCTCCTTGGCCGTCAAGTACGTGGGGGTCTCAAAGTCCATCATGGCTTTTCCCTTCTCCTTCTCATACTTCTCCTTATATTTCACCTGGAGCAGCAAACAGAAATGTCAAGTCAACTGCTGTGTGAAAAGTGGATTCAATCAATTCGCCAAGACAGGAAGTCAATACGGCTATTTGTCTTTGTTTTTGTTGGTAAAATACATTTACAATACATACAAAGCTGCAAAATCCTTATTTCTTTGTCAGAAAAGATATTCTATGAAAAGCACTTTTTACATAAGCGTACATGGTTAGACAAAGACCGATACAATATTTTAAGCTTGTTTTTTTTTGGTAGCATTTTTGAAGGTTGTTGTGTTTTGCTGCCTTGCCTCGAACTCAGATTGTGCAGCACTTACGTTACTCTGCAGTTCAGACGCCTCCTTGTGATGAAGCTGCTCTGGTGTGTCAGCAATCATATGGTAGTGACCCTTACTCTCCTCAAATTTCTTCTTGTAGCAGTACTACAGGGGAATGTTCCAGTCAAGTCAGACGTCAGAAAGCGAGTCTGAAGTTTACTCGCATCCAATAAATAAGAAATGAGTTCATAGTACAGCAAAAGCTTGAACTGTATTCAAAAAGCTGATAGCAAAGTCAAAAACTGGGAGAAAATGAAAAAGGGTGATTTTTAAAAACTAGTATGAGAATTATCTGAGTGGGTGAGGGCTCAGCGCGGGGTCAGGGAAAATGTCCTGAAATTAGTCCAAGGAAGGGAAAGCTAGCAAAAAACAGTTGAATTGAAAAATAAAAAAAATCACAATTTATACTAAGCTAAAACGTCAACAATAAGTACAGCTATAATTAGTTGATCTACTTATGTTTTCCAACCTATAAAAATATCCTAAATAGCTTAATTATTTTTCAGCTAAAAAAAGTGTTTCAGCATTAAGAACAAACTGTAAACACAGTTACCAAAAGTATAACACAAAGTGCTGTAGTTTATGCAAATAATGCAACTAAATTCATAACAAAAACAAACAAAAAACATTAAAAAAATAGTTTATACAAGTCAAAAATTTAAAAAAAAAATCTGTCAAATTAGATAAGCTTAAGTTAAAAACTATACTGGTAATAGATAAAAGTTAGCCAAAAATGACTAAAAACTAAAAAAAATATTGGTTAAAGGTTATTTTTCAAAATGAGATGATGAGGTAATAATAAAGAAGGGAGGTTAAAAAGAAAAGGAGAGGTTATAGGTGAGATGAGGGGCTGGGTAAGGATCACTACCAGATGAAGCCAGTGACAGTTTAAGGCGATGATGTGTTTAAGGAGGTGGATGATGTGCAGATGTGAGTGTGAGGTGTTATATAAAAGGAAACGATGATTTGAAAATGAACAGCTCCCTGGGTAAAACATCTGATGGGAGTCTTACGCTGCTGGCCAGCTTGCTGGTGCTCAGGCTGTGCTGCATGGACAGAGACTCAGCCATGTCGGTCACAGGTTTGTGGATCTTCTTCAGATCGCCCTTGTATTTCACCTGTAGATGGAAAATGAACGGTACGCGTTGAGCATCAGTGGCAGGAAGACAGGTGTGACGTGATGGAGCTCACTTACTTCACTTGCTAACACGTTGGCGTCCTTCATAATCTTGTAAATCTTGGTGTCCTTCAGGTCAAACTGCGGCTTCTTTCCTTTTACCTCCTTGTCAAACTTCTCCTTATACTTAATCTGGTGGATTCAAATACGAACATTATGTAAGAAGTTTCTTCCTCTGGTCTGAATTGATCCACTATTAGAATATATAACACAATGTCAGAGAAATCTACACCGAAACTTCTACTACTGTAAATGAAGGATGGTGTTTCCTGAAAGAAACGATTAAAACGACAGTTGCTTTTCCCTTTTTAAAAGAAGAAACCATTTGTTAATCCACAATGTGACATCATGTTTGATTGACAAAATGGAATCATGGGAATGCTTTAAAATGAGCGGACTTTGCCGGCACAATTGCAACTAATGCAGCAAATGCAAAGCTTTTTTTAGTTTAGCGAGAAATCTGAATGTTAGACACAGAAAAAGCGTTTCAAGAAAAAGTTTCATAAAAGTTTAGTATGTAGTTATCAGGCTATATCCAAATATTAATATTTGGATTTTAATACTAAACTATTCATATTATATAATATTAAAAAAAATCTGACATAATTAACCCTTGATCTTTTTTAGAAAATTTGTTTTCAATTCGCCAATTTGAACTCAAATAAAAAAAAGAATTCCAATCATAAATGACAAAAAGACAGAAAAAATAATGGCAGCCCTAGAGTTTTAGGGTGTGAACCTCCTTACATCACTAGTCAAGGCACTCATTTTCTTAATGTGGCGCATCTGCGGCGTGTCAATGGAAGCAGCTCCATGGAGGGAGGGCCTGGCCTCCACCTACAAAGCGCAGTAAAAAAAAAAAATGGAGGGATGAGACATGAATAGGAAATGCAGGATGGAAGCATGAGGTCAGATCTGCAGCTCTACTGTTAGTCTCAGTGGCCTGTAGTTAGGTTTCTACCACAGCTGGACTGTCATGTACTCTATGGACAAAATACACATCTTGAACAGAGGTAAAAAAAACAAACAAACAGTCGATTCTGGTCACACAGACCTGACTGGTCAGCTTGGACACTTCAGTGGCCAGAGTAATGTCAGGGCGGTAGGTCAGAGAACCACCGCGGCTCGCCTCCTCACGGGCTTTATCGCGGTATCCAATCTGATGGAGAGGATGTTAAAACATCAATCAAACAAAACAACAACAACAACAATCAAGGGATGAGATGCGTTTTCTTTATGACTAAGATTTTTTTTATTTTAACCTGCATAGGGAAGCAAAGCAAAACATGGACTTTCACTGTTTACTGAAAAATTGACACTAACAAATTAATGACAAAATCACTGTGGGCGTCAGTAGAAAGGCAGCCCTTGTGTCCATTATAAACAAAAAATATTGTATAAATATTTATAAAAATTATTGCTTTTTTTCAGTAGACTTTTCCAGTCAGAGCACTAGAGTGCTTTTAGAATATCAAAGAATCAAGCAGTTTCTTTTTTTTTTAGCTGTGACCTGGTCAGTGCCTCAAACGATCACAATTTAAAATTGCATTTCAATGTCCACCTGAATCTGCTCATTGGTTTAAATTGGTTTCCATAATATTTGCCAATGTATTTTGCCTCTCTTTGTATCGTTGATATAAACTCAGTATATTTTATATTTATATTTTTATATTTTATATATTTTTTTGAAGAATAATTTTGATTTTAATTCTGATTTTATAACTGGAAAGTCCATTAGACAAATGTATTAATCCTAATAAAAGTGGTGTGACTTGATTATAATTATCAATATTATTATTATTAGCATTATTTACCCCACTGATTAGTTTGGCAGCCTGGGTGGCCTTCCTGATGTCGGGACGATCCACCACAGTGGTGTAGCTCAGGTTGGCCTTGGCGTTCTTCTTATACTGCAACTGTTGAGTTCAAACGGAAGAGCAACAGCAGAACGACATGGGTTATAAAGTGAAACGAGACTACGAGTCAGACTAAAACGCAAAGTATATCAATAGAGGAGACTCACGCTGCTCTGGCATTTGGCCACATCAATGGCGTGTTGAACATCAGGTGGAACAGTCATGTTGTTGTACTCCGACTTACCCTTTTCCTTCTCAAACTTGGCTTTGTACAGCGTCTGTGACAGAGAAGAGTTAAATGTACGAGCCAAAAAAAATGATGAAGAAGTAGCCAAACCAAAAGATCAAAAAAAAAAAAAAAAGCCAGAATCCAAAAGTAATTTGACTTGATCTAAAACCATAACCCAACTGTAGTGAGAGGATGTCTACCTTGCTGACAAGCTTGTTGACGTTCTTGCTGTGGGCTGTGTCCCGAGTCTCTGACATGGTGGTGAAATCGCCGGACTGCCTTTCCTTCTTACTGGCCTCTTTGTATTTGGTCTACGGACGAAGACAAAACATTTAAAAACAGGTTTAAATGTTCGAATGTTGAAAAATTGAAAAAAAAAGAAGACATTCTTTCTGCTTTTACCTCTGATGACAGCAGTTTCACAGACTTGGCATGAAGGATTTGAGGAGTGTCCATGACAGGCAGATAGTGACCCTTGGCCTTTTCATACTTCAATTTGTATTTCACCTGGTGGACAGAAGAGCACACAGCTGTTTAGGAAATGCAAACCACAGCACAACTTTACATCAACTGACTTCAGAATGAATGAAAAGTGTAATTTTTGTGCAAGTTTTTTGCTGTGGTTTGAACACAAGGGTAAGACTCACCTCGCTGGCCATCTCAGAATTTTGCAAACGAAGGAGCATAAGTTTGTCGTCGGTCACAGGGATAACACAGCCCTTCAGCATCTCCTTGTCATACTTGTACTCAACCTGGAAGACAGTGCGTGTGTGAGAGAGGAACATTACAAAAGGGTTTTTTTTCACCTTGTGGTATAAAAATAATAAGTGAGTGTCAGAGATGAAAGAGAGGTAAAAAACTCACATCACTCTGCTGCATGGAGTTCTTAGCAGCATTGAGAAAATCTGGTCTGTCCGTCGTCCAGTTCCACTTGGCCTTAGTGGCTTCGTACTTCTTCTTGTAGTCGAGCTGATGAACGTAAACAGAATCACCAATGTGAAAACATTGACATGTTTTTGTTCATTTTCAGGTAAGTCGTTCAAAATAAGCTCAAGTGAAGACGCTCACGTTGGTGATGTTCCTATAAGCCTCCTTGGCGGCACGGATCGAATGAGCCTCTGGGTCCATGTTGATCTGAGCTTTGCTCTTCTCGTAAACCTCTTTGTACTTCAGCTGTAAGACACAGGAAAGCACACAGTCAAAAACAGCAGCCAACAGCATATTGTCGAACGCCGACAGATCAGACCAGGACTCACGTTGCTGGTGATCTCCTTGACCTTCTTCATGTGCAGCTGGTGTGGAGTGTCATAAGGCAGGGTGTAGCCCTTGGCCTTGGTCTTGTTGTACTCCATCCTGTAGATGATCTGAAGAGGGCAGCAGCCACCACGTCAATACAAGTCTTTCATCAATTATCTTTCAAGTTTGTTTGGGCAAAACTTACATCACCGATCTTCTTGCTGCGTCTGTGAGCCTCGTACTCTGGTGTCTCCAGGATGGAGGTGAACTTGTCCTTGGCTCGTTCATACTGCTCCCTGTACCTCCACTGTTGGAGGTGAGTGCAGGAACAGAAGCAAAGTGAGTAACACTCCAAATCACCATTCATTTTATGTTTTTGTTTTTTTTTTAAAGTTTGGCTTATGACTTGTTTTTTTGTTAAATGATGTGAGAGATGCTAAAAAGGAATGCGTAAACAGACTCTTTTTAGCATCCTTTGAGTCAAATTAGAGTCAATTTTTTGGTCGTATTTAATGTCCTTAAAATGTAAAATTATAGATGGACTGATGAGTGAGATGGTGGCATTTATTAATAAGAACATGCTCAAACATGCAAAACTTGCAAACTACAGCATTCAGTCAAGTCTGTTGACACAGAGGTCATTTTTCACACACAGAAGGGTTAGCTGAAAACGATTTTAGCTGTTGACACAGAGGTCATTTTTTCACACACAGAAGGGTTAGCTGAATGACACAATTCAATGATAACTGAAATGTGTAGCGGTAGTACCGTCCAGCTACAGCAGGTACTGAAGCATCCCAAGCTTCTCTACAGAAGCTTCGTCGCAGCAGTTTGCTGCCTGTCTCTACTGTTCTACTATTTCAAAATGATGTGAATCTCCAGGGGTCAGTGCGATATGACGGTAAGTGGAGAAGCGATGGAGGGATTAGAGCGTCGGTTAACGCCGGTCGCTAAGTGTACTTCAAGCGGCAGGGGGTGATGATGGCATTGTCTACTGAGAACCATGATTTCAGAGGAAACCATGGTGTCTGAACTGGGCCCAGCAGCGGTGTAGTTTCACTCCTGAGTGGAACTACAGTGTTTTACTCAGCAAGGCAGCGTTTCACTGAGAACAGAATACAGTGATGAGTAAAACCGATGAGATGGACCAATGAAAGCGATGGATGGGTGGATGGATGACTTTCTCAGAAGGTTTACCTTACTACCGATAGCTGTCTGAAACATGGCGGTGAGGATGTCGGGGCGGCGCAGCTCATTGCAGCCGCTCTTTAACAGATGCTTTGCGGTGGATTTGTACAGTTTCTGTTCACACAGACATAGACAAACAGACGCAGAGCATGCCACAGTTGAGCAGAGAGAATCAACAGCGGGAACACTGGACTGGAGGAGAGACGGGTAGAGAGTCCTCGTGTGTCTTCAGAGCAGGGTTGAGAATCAGGAAAGTTAAGGGTAGAAATGTCTTTTAAAATGTGTTTTTATCTGATCTGTTTGCATGAGATATATAATAAAGATTGTAGGTAAAAATCTGGCAAAAATAAGTCAAAAAACAACTGACACCTATTTGAAGCACGTATAAATTAAACTTATATTAAAGGCCAGAAAAATAAAAATCGTTCGCTCACTTAAAGTATGACAAAAACGTCCTAAATAAAACTTGATCAAAAAGGAGTCCATCTTAATTTGGACAAATTTATAACATGTTGATGTCATCAATAGACTATTTCTGTTTTGGCTCTGAAGACACAGTAAAAACCTGTGAGGAGAGAAAAGACAGAGAAGGAGCAGACGCCGACACAGAGAGAGGACGAGTTCTCTGGTGTTGAAAACAGAGAAGGCCATGCCAAGGTGACGACCACCGGTCGGGTCTGTGGTGTCGGCCTCATGCACCAGAGGTCTGGACCCAGCACAAACTTTGGAGGGCGGCCAGGTGTTTTACCTGGCTCTGAATCTTCCTGTTCTCTCTGGCCAGCTGATACCTAGGATCCTCAGTGGTTACTGTGTACTTATCCTTAGTCTTCTCATAGTTAGCTCTGTAGGACCTCTGCTCACAACGTCAAAGAGTGGTTAAGAAACGAAATATTCACAGGAATAACACACAAAAAAAAAGTGACCTGTGATGTGAATGAAATATTCACAGGAATAACAAAAAAAAAGTGACCTGTGATGTGAAGAAGCTTCTCGGGAGAGGAAAAGAAGGTTAAATAATGCAGACAAGTAATATAATCAGAGAAAATACAGAGAAGAGCTGCAAGAGTTATGAGCATGTTTTTTGAATGTCAATTATATGATTATAACAAAGTTTCTTTTTTTTGTTTCTCTGACAAAAAACAAAATGAGGGAAACTCAAGGAGTACAATTTCTAATCATTTTCTGAATGTAGAGTAAATGACAAGTTAATCATCAGTTACATCTCTTATCCAGCAGAGGCCACTATACAGATTGTATACCAGGCATTAATGTAAGAATAGAACCTCTTATCCAGCAGAGGCCACTATACATACTGTATACCATACCTATATACCAGGCATTAATGTAAGAATAGAACAGAATTCTAAATTTACATTTAGAAATGAACTCAATTTTACCTTGAAGCTGAGTCCAACAAATGCACAGAATCATAAATGCATTCTATTTTTGAACAAAAACGTTTACAAATTTTACTTTTACCTTATTTTACCAAACCTATTATAGAACGGCAATGAGGTTAAAATATAAAATGAAACGACTCACATCATTAATGAGGGTGGAGGCGAACTTGGCCGTGTTGAAGAATGGAGTGTCGCTGGTGTATTTGAAGTTTCCTCTGTTCTTCTCAAAGGACGCTTTGTATTCTCTCTGTTGACAAGAAAATACACGTTTTTTTTAAATACACACTTATGTGAAGGCACATTAAGATTGTTTGTCAAAGGGTAAAGGTTGTTGTGTAACTTACCTGGCTGTACAGTGACTTGTTCTTGTCAGCTAGCTGAAGATCTGGTGTATCCCACACGTAGCAGCCGATTCCTTTCAGCCATTCCAAGTCCTCCTTGTACTTGTTCTTGAGACGTACAGCAAAGGCACAAGTTATGATACAAATTGATGACCGGCTGAGTGCCAAATAAACAAGACTTTAAAATGCTCCGAAAAAAGTGTCTTCCCGGAGAATGTTAATTGTTATTTCTGCAAATATTTGCGCCATAAGAAGATTTGAAACACAACTTCCGTCTTTTACAGTTAGTCAATTCCGCTGCTTAAAAAAATGTCATTGTTAAAATTACTTCAAAGAAATCTATAAAAACGAATCAGTCAATGTCACAAAGAAAACATAATAAAAAAGCCTAAAAATAGCCACAATTTAGCTAAAAGTAAAAATATAGACTATATTATTTTAAAGCAGGATAACGCCAGTGATGCCTTCACTGTCCTAGAATTTTAGGTTGCACTACATACATCCTAAATTTAGAGCTTACCTTCATATTGGTAGATAGATATAAGAATGAAAGTGGACGGAACTTACGTTGCTGACATTGTCATTGACAATTCTGTTGAAAAAGAACTCAGGACGATCTGGGATGGACTTCCATGTTCCCAGGGTGCTGATGTACTTCTCCCTGTATTTAACCTGAGAAGGAGAGGATACAATGAGGTTAGCATTGTTATGTATAAATATTCAAAAATGTGACTACAGGCAATAAAAATGTGGCTTCTGACCTCGCTGATATCGTCGGTGACTCTGCGGTGGTAGACGATGTCCAGAGCATCCTTGACTGTACGGTAGTGACCCCTGGAGAGCTGGAAGGTCTCCTTGTAGCGCAGCTGGAGATAAAAAAAAAACCATGTTGAAATATGGTTTTATGGTGTAATGAAGAAAACCAGGTTTGTTTCTATTCTTTCTAAAGCAGGGCTCTCAAACTCCAGTTTTTGGTCTGCAACACCCAACATCTGGCCCAAAATGAGTTTCAATAATAATTTCATTTTAACTATAGCTATTTAACTATAGGAGATTTTTGGAATATTTACAGTATATATTCCTATATATATATATTAAAAAGATGTAATTTGTCACTTAAGAGTGTGAAAAAAGTAGTATTATTTTATATTTATATGAAACAAAATTGTTGATTATCCAGGGATGTTAAAGAAGAAGATAACAATTACATATACAAGCAGTTATAACCCAAAAGTAAAAGTTAGACGTAGACTCACATCACTGGACTGGAGGTAGGATTTCTTGGCTCTGATCAGCAGCGGGGTGTCGGCAATGGCCGTGTATCTGTGCTTCATCTTCTCATACTGTTCTTTGTATTTGTTCTAGAGGAGGAAACGAAATGTGATCCAAAGTGAAGCTCTCGTATTAAAACAATTTTCTACACAGAGAAGAAATTTTATATTGTGTTTCTGGTAAAGATGGTGCTCGCTAATACAATGATAAAGAGGAGCGGAGAGTCTTACATCACTGTAGACCACTTTAATCTTTCTGGCATGGCGCATGTGAGGAGTCTCGATTTCCTGAGTGAAGTGAGCTCTCTCCTTAGCAGCCAGGTCTGTGTACAGGTACTGTAAACCAAAACATAAAAATAACATCGTTAGAAAAATAACTTTCACACCCATTGGTGCTGATGTAGGACTAGAACTCGCCTTGTTGGTCAGCTTCTGGGCCCACTTGGCTCTCTTAAACTCAACAGCGTCCCCTGGAGTGCTGACCTTGCCCATTTCCTCTTTGCTCTGGGCTTTGTAGATCATCTGGAAAAAGCACAGAGCACAGTTTGAATAAAATGGCTAGGGTTCAGAAATTAAATTAAAAAGTCAGAAATAGTCAAATTATCATTTATAAGGACTCACAGAGCTCATATGGGTCTTCAGCTCGGTCACACGTTTGTACTCTGGCGTGTCTAGGACCACGGAGAATTTGCTCAGATTCTTCTTGGCATCAATTGGATAGTTCTCCTAAAAATATGTATAAAAAAAGGTGACAGATTTATTGATATGTTGCTGTGATTAGGTTTTAATGGACAGAAAGTGTTAAAACTACGTCCGTACGTTGAACTGGGTGATGTTGCGGAGGCGGACCATCTCTGGCGTGTTGTACAGGAAGCAGCCGACGCCTCTCAGCCACTGTAGATCTTCTTTATATTTGAGCTTAAAAAAAAATTATAAACATATTAAATTAAAAAAACACCATCTGGCTATTTTTGCGTGATTTCGTGGCCTCAAAAACCCATACCTCACTGGTGATCTCGTTGACGTGTGAGCAGTGGATCAGCTGAGGTGTGATGGGGAGGGAGATCAGCTGACCTTTGCTGTTGTTGTACTTCTCCTTGTACCACAGCTGGAAGTAGACAAGAAATATACCAATAAGACATAAATACAAAGCTCAACACAGGGGCTCTGACTGAAGTGTGAAGGAGGAGGCGGCGTGTAGAAAATGGCTCCATACGTCGCTGAGGTGCATCTGGTTGTTCTTGACTTGTTTGATATCTGGGGTTTCGTAGGTTGTGTGGATCTTGTCCTTGTTCTTGTGGTACAGCTCACGATACAGACGCTGCGGATAGAGAAGCAGATCACATGTCAGAGACTGACCAGCGAGCGGTTTGAGTCCGTGGCATCGGCAGAAGGTTAGCTCACGTCGTTGACGATCTTGTGAGCTTTCCTGGCTCCGACAAAGTTGACTCCCTCTGGGTGAATAGTGTAGGCCTTAGCCTTGGTCATCTCATAGGCTTCCTTGTATTTAACCTACGCAGACGGAAGCACAGGTGAGTGAAATCATTTCACAGAAAAAGAACTAAATGTAGAAAAGTTGACATCACAAAAGTGAACCACTTACATCGCTGGTATTTAAACTGTTCAGTTTAACCTGCTTGATGAGCGGAGTGTCGTGAGGCAGGGAGAAGCCGGTTGGCATGAAGTTCTTATTGGCCTCCTTGTACAAAATCTGAAGTGGAGAACAGAACAGTAGAGTGAGACACAGAAAAATAAAACATTTTCATTTTTTTATTAGCCAAAAAAGGGTCAGTGTAAAGTTGATTTGACTCCACTCGGAGTTAAATCGGATATGTTTCACAGTGACTTGAACATGGGAGAAGACCAATGACAGACTGAGTAATGGAGCCCCTAAAGCAACTTTGTCAAAAGTTTGATTAGCTGAAGAAATATAACAGATGTAAGCAACGCTCGTCACTTAAAAGTTTTAGTGAATGTGATTTAAAAACACAGAAAGTTAAAACACCAACATTAAAATGAATACTTTGTGGTGTGAACCCATACAGACACATTGTTGAAAAAAATATACAACTGTTTACATTTTACACAACGCACATCGCCCGTAACATTAAAATTAATACTTTGTGGTGTGAACCCATATAGACACATTGTTGAAAAAAAATATACAACTGTTTACATTTTACTATATTAAATTAGCTATGTGTTGTACAGATATCAAAATTATATTGTTTATTTTAAATCGTTTACACCAAGCAGTAATGCATTTCTGGTTTATATGTGTGTGTATATAATAGTGAAGGTGTGTCTTGGAGCATGGACTCACATCACTCTGGATCTCATTGGCCAGACGAGCTCTCTGTGATTCAACAGTGACTGCAGGAGAAGTGTTTGTGCCCTTGACGTTGGCGTGGTAGTCGTAGCGGTAATTGAGCTGGAAAGAGAAAAAGAAAAAAAAAAAAAAGATGTAAAATTGTTTGCGTTCAATTAAGTACAACCTTTTCCTATGGTGTGAAAAATCAGGCTGCTCACATCACTCAGATTAACGGCGCTCTGCTTGGCCGTCTCGTACACTGGCGTGTCAGTCACCACTGTGAAGTTCTGCAAGTCTTGAATACCCTTGGCTCTGTACTTGGACTGAACAAAAGTAAAGAAATGAGACAGTGAGCGTCACTTCAGATGTAAAAAATATGAAGAGAGGTGTTGATTTGGAAATGGCGCTCAATGCTATGAATGGTCTCACCTCGCTACGAATTTCACCAGCCTGTTTCACACGGAGAATCTCGGGCGTGTCCCAGGCATAGCAGCCGATTCCTCTCAGCCAGTTCAGATCGTCTTTGTAGAAGACCTGAGAAGGACAGGTAAAGGATGAAGCTAGTTGATGACACAAACAGTACTTCACTTGGATAATTGCAACCTCAAGGACAATGCTACTGAAAAACACTTACTGCAGGCCAGTGTATAATTCTTCTAATTCTAAAATTCTCACACATATAAATAAATATAGTTGCTAAAGCCTAAAGTCAATTGTTCCCACAAAGGCCTGAGGTGTTCCAATCCCATCAAGGAAAGGATCTGGGTTCCATTTTGGAACTATAGTAAAAGACTATTATTGTTCATAGTCTCAGTAGTGAATGGAAATCAAAGGCTGTCCATATCATGGCTTGAAGGTTTTCAGTGTTTATCAGTGGCTGACATGCATGTGCAACAGTGACAACTAGAGGTACATCAATTTGTATTGACAGTTGACACTCACATCACTGAGCTGCTCGTTGACCTTACGAGCGTGCGCATACACCGGAATGTCAGGGACGCACAGCCACTGGTGCAGATACTTCCTGTAGTGGATGCCACTGACGATGGACTGGGTCTTGCCGGCAGCTAAGATCTCCAGCATGTCTGGTGGGATGTGGTTCTTGGCCTTGGTCTTTTCGTAGTTCTCTTTGTACAGACGCTGTAGAGACGGACAAGACGTCAGGTTTACTGCATATTAAATAGGAGGAGGAGAAGAGGTCAAATTTAGCTTACGTCCAAGACCAGCTTTCCAACTCTAACGCAGCGAGCTGTTGCAGGATCATCCTGCAGGGACTTGGGCAAACTGTAGAGGGTCTTGTACTTCTCATAGTCCTCCTTGTACTTCACCTAAAGGAAGAAAAAATGAAACCAGGTGTTTATTAGCAGTAGACAGACAGGACAAACAAGTGAAGACATTAACAGAGCTGACTGTCGGACTTACACTGCTCAGGATGACTTTCTGCTGTTTGGCGTGTTGCAGGGCATTGGAGTCAGGTGGAATCTGGTAGCTAGTGGCTTTGATTTTGTCCCAGGCAGAAGTGTAATTTTTCTGTTGATGGAAAAGAAAGTAAATTTATTTTGTCGCATTATAAAACAAAACCATATAAGCAACCATGTCACATTGTTTTATGCAAAATAAAAAAAAATATTTAGAGCTAAACACTAGCCTACCTCTACTCTTTCTAACCAAGAACCCATCAGTCACTCTGACAAACTTAAGCAAAGGCAAGCAGGCTAGAGAATTGAAAATGCTTAGTGTAAGTAACTCAATTAGGCTAGAGAATCTTCTGAAAATGCTTAGTGTAAGTAACTCAATTTGTTTCAACGATAGACAAGAAATTGTGTTGTTGAAGAATCTAGAAGCCTGCTGTTATTTTTATGTCTTTTCATCGTCTATTTTCTTAGTTTAAATCACAACATAAGAAAAAAGATTTATTTTTCTCCACACTGTATATTTACAGTTAACAAGAGATTCCTTTTTGTTGCATTTTTTTTATATTCTCTCCAATTTTCTTACGTCCTCAATTAGTCTTTACAACCTCAAATTCAAACATCTATCTAAGTCACAGAACCATCATAACCAAAATATCCTTTGTGGTTGCAGTATTTCAAGAGTTTGTGAATTAGTAGTTGGCGTGACTTCCTGTCAAAACTTACGTTGCTGAAGAATTCTTTAAAGTTGTGGCATCTGGCGTAGTCGTAGGTGTCCAGAACCGTGGTGTACAGGTGCTTCTCCTTGTGGTAAGCCTCCCTGTAGTTGAGCTATAAACACAACAGCCATCACTTTATCGACATTCTCAGGTAGCGATTGATGCGTCAAACTCTACACAAAGTTGTCCAGTCCAGGTTACTCACCTCGCTGGCCCAGGTGCTACCCAGAATAGCAGTCACATACACTGGCGTGTCCGTCACAATGGAGTAATTGTTGAACTCCTTCTTGGCCTCTTCTCTGTATTTGCGCTATAAAGGATAATATAATACGGGTTAGTTATCACACAAGCATCTTAGGAAATGCTGTTATGTCGAAATGTTTAACCCCTCAGCCACGTTTTGTATGCGGTGCTACTCACATCACTCTGCATGTCGTAGGACTTCTTGGCACGAATAATCTCTGGTGTGTCCCACGCGTAGCAACCAATTCCCTTAATCCAGTTCATGTCCTCCTTGTAGAACACCTAAGAACAAACAGCATGTTAAGAAAGAGTAAACCAAGTGTTCTAACTTTTAATTGGTCTTGTAGTGCAGAATGAGACGTAAAATCCTACATCACTGAGGATCTCATTGTTCTTGCGGGCACGGATTGCCTCCTGCTGCTCAGGAGGACATGTCCACTGGTGCAGGTAGGTGCGGTAGAGGACGTCGCTCAACATGTCCTGACACCTCTTGGCCACTTGGTTGGCAATGACATCAGATGGGATGTGGATCTTGGTCTTGTTGCCGTGGTAATCCTTGTGGTAGAGCCTCTGTGGATGACACAGCGCTGTGTTATTTTCCTATCAAACCCCAGAATAAAAATACTAGAGGAGTAAAAGCTACATGTCTTTTTCCACATAGGGGATGATTTTAAGTATTGCCGTTGAAGTATTGACTCAATAAAGGACAAGAGACTAAAAAAATTGAACTAAAACTAGTTAAGGTTAAAAGTTTAAAATTTTTTTTAAAAAAGTTAAAAAAAGTATGTTTTCCATCTTACCAGTCCCTTGTTCTTCTCCTGTTGTCCACAGCGAACAACCTCAGGGAAGTCAACCAGGGTTTCAGCCATGTAGTGACCTTTGGCCTTCTCATGAGTGTCCTTGTACTTGACCTAAGGGGATGTATTTAGGAATAGAAGAATTTAATTATTTAACACAAAGAGCAAAATTCTGTAAGTGACGTCTGTAAAGAAACGACGCTCACGTCGCTGGCGATATCCCTGCCCTTCTTGCTACTGAGGAGTGGGATGTACTCGTGGTCCAGACTGTAGCCTGTGGCCTTTGACTTGTCCCAGGTGTCCTTGTAGAGTTTCTGCAAGCACACAGGATTATTAAAAGAAAAAGTGTGAAAAAAATGAAAACAGGACATTTGTGATAAAACATCTGCAAAAGAGAGTCAGAGAAAGTACCAGGCTGAGGATCTTTGCTGCTTCCCTGCTGTGAGCCAGCTGAGGAGTGTCCTCCGAACCGATGTAATGTCCCTTCTCTGCGTTGAAGGTTTCCTTGTACTTCAACTAAACAGAAAGGGCACATCATTTAGATGAAGATATAGATTTTTGTAGGTCAGGTAAAATGCCAAAAACGTCAGGGTTATATTTTCACTTACGTCGCTGAGGTTGGCAGCATTGATCTTTGCCAGAATAATCTCAGGTCTGTCCACAATGAGGGTGAAATTACTGTGGGCATCTTTGGCACCTTGCTTGTACAGTCTCTGCAGAAGAAGGTAAAGGTAAGGATTACCGTGTAGTAATGATAATGATGATGATGATGTCACACATCAATCGTTGACTAAATTTTGACTTTTGTCAGATTAGTTGATGAATAAAAATCAGAAGTTACCTTTTTGTATATATAATTCCACTGTCCACCCATAGTTTTTCTCATATACAGTTGATACACATTATTAATTTATTCACGTTATTATTATTATTTGCATACACTGCAAGATGCCATCTCATTCAGCATAGGCTAGATTTCCAGTCAGATGCATAAGAGATGGCCTCAGCAAGCACAGGCCAGTAAATAAGTCGACTGCCGACAAGATGACTGACGCACAATTGTCAAATAGATTACAAGATACTGTAGATTCATGACCACTTTAATGAAGTTCTGAAAGCAACTCTCATACTGTAATGAAGTTTTTTTATCAATTGACAATCCTAATAATAATAATTGCTTAAAAGAAGAACATACGTCGTTGAGAATCTCCTGGGCCTTCTTGACTTTGTTATGTTCAACTGAGTCAGCGGCCACCCAGCCACAGCCACGGATCCATTCCAGGTCAGCTTTGTACACATTCTGGAGACAGAATGGAAATGAAAAGACAAATTTAAATCTCTCAGGCCAGGGTACAATAGTTTCAGCACAGAGGGCCTCAGCAAAACACTCACATCACTCTGAAGATCGTAGATCTTTCTGGCCTGGACCACATCGTTGGAGTCTGGCAGGCAGGTCCATTGGTGCAGACGAGTTCTGTAGTTGAAGTCGTTGACTTGGTTCTGACATTTCTTGGCCAGTTCCAGGGTCAGCATGTCTGCGGGCAGGTGGTACTTGGTCTTGGACTTGTTGAAGTCCTTCTTGTACAGAACGTCACTGGCAATCTTGACTGAGTTCATGGCCAACATGATGAGAGGATCCTCTTCCACACAGCGGGCACCGATGTGATGACCCTGCTGCTTGCGGTACGACTCCAGGTACTTGTGCTGCAGTACAGACACAAATTAATCTCTAAACCCTCCATAAGAAAACATTGAAAAGAAATGAACATGCTAGTCTAGTTGCTTACCTGACTCTGCACTTTAGACATAGAGATGCAGTTCTTGATGGGAACAGCGTCTCCAGGCATGTAGTATCCTGTGGCTTTGACGTTGTCCCATGCTTGAGTATAAAGATGCTGCAAGAGACGGAATTTCCACCAGTTAATACTTAATGTAGCAAAATCATGAAAGAGAAGTAAAGTTACTTGAACTGATTGGTGCCATTAAAAACTTCAGATGTTGTCATCTTCACTGCCTTACGGGATGAATATTCTTGGCCACCTCTCTGGCTGTTGCCATCAGTGGAGTGTCCACCAGTGAGTACTTAGTCTTGTCCTGGTTCCAGGCCTCACGATATTTGGCCTGGAAAAGAGCGAGAGAGTAGAATACCGTGATGAAAGACGTCGGTTAGATTGAAGTGAATACCAACGGGATGGTGGAGAGTCCGAGTCTTTCTCACCTCGTTAAGGACCTGAGCGGCGTTCTTGGCGCAGACCAAGTCCACTCTGTCTGTGGGGACTGTGTATTCCTGTTTGTCCAACTTCACACGGTAGCCTCTCTGAGAGAGAGCAGGAAGCAGAGCGGAAATTAAAAACCTATTTTATGTAGAGCAATGACTTTTTAACAAGGTCAGAAGGTCAACTTAAGAGGCCCCTCTATTATTTATAATCAGTTTTGTTTCCATTAGCTGACTATCAGACTATACCAGTCTGAACCGCATAAGAATAGAACCAGTGATTGGACTTACTTCGGCCAGGATCTTCTGGGCATGCTTCACCTTCATAACATCCACACACTCATGTGGCATCCATCCACATCCACGTATCCACTCCATATCGGCTTTGTACACAGCCTGAACAGACAGAACAAAGTAATTAAGTCAATTAAAGATTATTGAGCTCATAATAGGTATATATGTGACAAAAGATAATCATACATCACTCTGGAGATCATAGGCTTTCCTGGCCTGGACCACATCGTTGGAGTCCGGCAGGCAGGTCCACTGGTGCAGACGAGTCCTGTAGTTGAAGTCATTGACCTGGATCTGACATTTCTTGGCCAGTTCAAGGTTCAGCATGTCCACAGGCAAGTTGAACTTGGTCTTGGACTTGTTGAAGTCCTTCTTGTACAGAGCGTCACTGGCGATCTTGGCTGAGTTCAGGGCCAACATGATGAGAGGGTCGTCCTGGACGCAGCGTGCACCGATGTGGTGGCCCTGCTGCCTGCGGTACCCTGCTTTGTACTTGTACTGGCAGAAATAAAAGGCAAAGGTTAATTAAAAACAAGGAAACTGATTGATTTGCTTATTGATCCGATCATGTTTTTTTACTTACATCACTGATGATATCTCTGGAAGCTTTGGCCTTCAGCACAGACACAGCATCCTGCTTTACATGGTAAGCCCTGGCCTTCTGCTCATCCCAAGCCTTTGTGTACAGTTTCTGCACAGAAAGACAAAAGCAAGGTTGTTAACAATCGGAAAAAACAATTATCCTTTTTCATCCATTTTTAAGATTTACGGTAGTTAATTTACTTACATTGCTAATATTGATGGAATTAGCCTTGGACAGTTCAAAGGTTGGTGTGTCGTTAGGCAGGTGAATAATGAGCTTGTCTTTATCCCAGACTTCCCTGTATTTCCTCTGTTAGAGAAAAAAAAAAGACAATCAAATGCAAATTCACGCACATTCTTAAAAACCTTTTCGGCAGCCCAAAGCTAACACTCACATCACTGAGAATGTCAGAGTTCTGCTTGGACAGGACAATGGCTGGCAGATCCACCACACTGGTGAACTTGACAGTGCTTGGGGGCTGGCGGTAAAGTCGTTCGTTGAGGATGTTCTGGGCATTCCTCACTTTGAGGACATCAATGCAGTCCTGAGGTGACCAGCCGCAGCCCTTCAGCCATTCCAGGTCTGCTTTGTAAACAGCCTAAAGAAAAACCCATGAGCAAGTTAACTTTTTTTTTTAAGTTAAATGTTTTTCTGTCTAGGATAGATAAATGCTGGTAAAAAAAAAAAAAAAAGGTCTGACTAAAATGCATAATCCTAAAATGTGTACTCACATCACTCTGTAATGCATAGACCTTTCTGGCCTGGACCACATCGGTGGAGTCCGGCAGGCAGGTCCACTGGTGAAGGTAGGTTCTGTAGTTGAAGTCGTTGACCTGCTGCTGGCATTTCTTGGCCATTGCTAGTGCCACCATGTCCCCTGGCAGGTTGTATTTGGTCTTAGTCTTATGGAAGTCCTTCTTGTAGATGTTGTCGCTGAAGATCTTGGCAAAGTGAGCTGCCAGCATGATCTGTGGATCATCCTTAACACTGAGGGCGCCGATGTGGTGACCACACTGCTTGCGGAATCCGGCCTTGTACTTGTACTGTTCAAAATTAAAAACATTTGTAAGAACATTTGTTTCGGGTTTTTCTACCAAATATAAAAAAAAAAGAAAAACAATATAAGAGGACAGTTACTTACGTCACTGACGATGTCTCTGGAGGCTTTGGCTGCTACAACAGAAACTGCATCTTTGGGAAGGAAGTAGCCTTTGTTGATGGCGTTCACAAAACCTTCACGATAAGCTTTCTGTGAAATTAACAATAGTGCTGTCAGAAAACAAAAAGCAATAAAACAAAACAAAAAAATATACACAATGCTCTAGTGCCCCAGTCCTATAGATAAAGATGCAGAAATGATGATATTTACCAGACTGTAATTGAGTTTATTCTGTTTGGATAACATGATCTCAGGCGTGTCAGGCATGATGTGAAGGTTGGTCTTATCACTCTCCCAGGCAGCAATGTAAGCTCTCTGTAAAGAAAGTGAATAAAAATATCATTAAAACTGACTTAATCATAAAACATGTTTTATTTTAAATATAAAAATTTTAAAAAAGAATTGTACCTTGTTCATGACTTGGGCATTGGCCTGAGCAAGAGCATATGGCATGTCAGTGGTCTGAGCAGTGAACTTGAAGAGACTGGGATGCTGACGGTAGCCCCTTTCACTAAGGATCTCAGCAGCTTTCTTGGCCTTCTCCACATCCACTGAACCGATCGGTACCCAGCCACAGCCCTTGATCCATTCCATGTCAGCCTTGTACACAGCCTGGGATTAGGTAAGAAAAAGGATTTCAGTTAGGGTTAAAATATATTCTCCGCACTTAATGGCCAAAACCCATCTTAAAACATCCCTGTTTTCGGCATTTACTCTCTATTTACCGTAATGAGGCTTTGGGAGAAGAGTAAGTGTGGCTATATACAAACTGTTTATATAGTCATATATTTAGCAAAACACGTAACAACACTTAAAATATACATGGCCACTGCTCAAAATTAGCTGTTTTTCTATACCAAAAGAAAGTAACTTACTTGATATTACAATTAATTTCAGTATGCTATGGTTATTTTATTGTAATGTTTCCTTAGAGTTGGAAAATAATATGGCGGAACATATATAGTTACGCAAGTCAAACAAATGAAAACAAAGTTACACAATTCCTGCTTGTTGCCGCATTTAAAGCATGTCATAAAAATACGGTAAAACAATAAAAGAAGCTCAGAGTAGAGCTTGTCTTGAGTGATGACACACACGGAGCACTCACATCACTCTGCAGGTTATATGCCTTTCTGGCCTGGACCACGTCATTGGAGTCTGGCAGGCAGGTCCAGTTGTGCAGGTGAGTTCTGTAGTTGAAGTCGTTGACTTGAATCTGACATTTCTTGGCCAGTTCCAGATTCAACATGTCCACAGGGAGGTGGAACTTGGTCTTAGACTTGTTGAAGTCCTTCTTGTACAGAACATCACTGGCAATCTTGACTGAGTTCATGGCCAACATGATGAGAGGATCCTCTTCTACACAGCGAGCACCGATGTGGTGACCAACCTGCTTACGGTAGCCGGTCTTGTATTTATACTGGGTTAAAGGAAAAAGAAAAAGTTAGAAATGGAGTGAAGAATAAAGCTACGCGGTCAAACAGGAGCAGAGGAAACAATGAAGAGTAAGAATCAAGTTTTGTTTGACGTACGTCACTGATTATGTCTCTTGCATGTTTGGCAGCAATAACAGAAACAGCGTCATGTCTGTAGTCGTGGCCCTTTCTGAAGATCTCCTCCACAGCTTCCCTGTACACTTTCTGAAATGAATTAAAAAAAAAAAAAGATGTGTCAAAAATATTTTAAAAAGGTAAACATGAAACCTACCAATACATTGATCTAGTTCCAAGCGTCCTAACACAAGCACCTTGCTGATGTTGTATGCATTAGCTCTGGAAAGCAGGATCTCTGGTGTGTCAGGAGGTACATGAATCTTGAGCTTGTCACTCTCCCAAGCAGCGATGTAGTTTCTCTATGGTGTGGAAAGAAAGTCATTATGAGAAGAATTTCTCAACAGTGTTGGTGTGATAGCAAAAACAATGTTGTGGAACAGTAAAAGATGGTGGTGTTCTCTACCTTGTTGATGATATCAGCATTCGTTTTGGCCAGCACCATGGGCATCGAGCTCATGTCAGTCTTATACTTGTGCTTGCCCAGCTTATCCCTGTAGAGACGTTCACTGAGGATATTTGCAGCATTCTTAGCCTTCAGTACGTCCAGTGACCCAATGGGCACCCATCCCACGCCTACGACCTCATCCATGTCAGCTTTGTATACAGCCTGGTGGGAAAAAATGTCAACACCAATAAACGCAGTCAACATGGCGTAGAGGACTTGTCATACTTGCTGACTTTGTCATAAAGTGCTCACATCACTCTGAAGGTTGTAGGCTTTCCTGGCCTGGACCACATCGTTGGAGTCCGGCAGGCAGGTCCACTGGTGCAGGTGAGTTCTGTAGTTGAAGTCGTTGACCTGGATCTGACATTTCTTGGCCAGTTCTAGGTTCAGCATGTCCACAGGAAGATGGAACTTGGTCTTGGACTGGTTGAAGTCCTTCTTGTACAGAACTTCACTGGCGATCTTGGCTGAGTTCAAGGCCAACATGATGAGAGGGTCGTCCTGGACGCAGCGTGCGCCGATGTGGTGACCGACTTGTTTGCGGTATCCCTGCTTGTACTTGTACTGGTCAAATCAACAGGACAAAAAAAAGAAAAGTTTTATTGTTGCCACCTGAAAAGCTGTATTTTGGTGTGTTAATCATATTAGTAAATACACAGTATATTACGCTTTACTCACGTCACTGACGATGTCCCTGGAGGCCTTGGCAGCCTTGACGGACACTGAATCTGGAGGAAGCCAGTAACCCTTTCTAATGTCAGCCTCAAAACCTTGTTTATACAGTTTCTGCAAAGAGAGATTTATTTACATGAATTTAATGCCAACATTACATGTTGTATTATTGGACATTTATAAAAATCATCTACCTCCAAATCATTCAGAACGGTTTATGCTACTATCTACCTAGTAGTATGTGTATACTTTTGTGAAATACTCAAAAAGATTACTCAAAACTGTAAAAGATTTAAAAGGAAAGCAACTGTTACATACAGTAAATTCAGTAGAACTAAGATAAAACTCCAACCTTTGGGGACTGACACTAACCTGGCTGACATTGATGGAGTTCTGAAGAGAGAGTATAATCTCAGGAGTATCAGGCATGATGTGAATCTTGGTCTTCTCTCTCTCCCAGGCCTCAGTGTAGAGACGCTGGAAGACAACCAAAACATAAACCATCAAAAAAAGACCATGACAAAAAAAAAATCTAATTGCAGTTTTTGTTGACAGTGTCTTTTACCTTGTTCATGGTCTGGGCATTATTCTTTGCCAGTACAAGGTTCATGGCATCATTCAGGCTGGTGAAGGGAACACTGCTTGGATGCTGACGGTATTTTCTCTCACTCAGGACATCTGCAGCCTTCTTGGCTTTCTCCACATCCAGCGAACCAATGGGAACCCAGCCGATGCCCTGGAGCCACTTCATGTCAGCCTTGTACACAGCCTGCCAGGAGATGGAGCCAAGAACTTGTGTTGAGTCATGACACTCGTACCATAACATGAAATGTAAAATTCTAAAATCCAAACTGCAAAAAAATACATCACACTCACATCACTCTGCAGGTCATAAGCCAGTCTGGCCTGGACCACATCGTTGGAGTCTGGCAGGCAGGTCCAGTTGTGCAGGTGTGTTCTGTAGTTGAAGTCGTTGACCTGGATCTGACATTTCTTGGCCAGTTCAAGGTTCAGCATGTCCACAGGAAGATGGAACCTGGTCTTGGACTTGTTGAAATCCTTCTTGTACAGAACGTCACTGGCGATCTTGGCTGAGTTCACAGCCAGCACCATCAGAGTATCGTCCTGGACACTGCGAGCACCAATGTGGTGACCGACCTGCTTCCGGTATCCTGTCTTGTACTTGTACTGGAGAGAAGATTTGATATGATTATTCTTGTGCCGTCAAATGCAGACTTTGTAGAGCAAATACAGAAAAAAAACTTAGTATGACAAAACCTTTACTAAACTACACTATAAAACCTCAACTTTTACAGGGATCAAGGTCAGTTCTTCAAATCAATTACATCATTAACAAATACCAAGGTGTTTGAGCTTAGAAATGTTAAAACACTCATATTTGACTTCATGAACACCTAATCATTAAAAAATGTAAATTTATGTTAAAGAGTAGTTAAAGAGACAATTTTCAAATTTTAACCATAAAAATCAATCTGCATAGACTGGGCTGTCATTAATTCCCAGCTACGTTGAGTTTGAGAAATCTGCAGAAAACCTGTTTCTCTGCTTCGGACAACATCCACCAAAAAGGTATTTGCAAATTTCCTACAAATTAGAATTAGGAGAAGTGTGTTGTTTGTGCAAATTTGAATCACATGATGGGTTTCGCAGTAGGAGCTATAAGAAGATATTTTTGCACATTAAAAAAAAAAAAAAAGACTTACATCACTAGCGATGTCCCTGGAAGCCTTGGCAGCAAGGATGGAAATAGCATCTTGACGCATGTCGTAGCCCTTCTTCTTGGAATCTTCATGGGCCTGCTTGTACCTTTTCTGTGAGCATACACAAACATCCCATAAACATTAGGTGTTTTATCAAGGTGGCTTATAAGAAAATTGGAGTTACTGTTTTGAGTGTTTACATACATAACTGTAGTTGACATTGTTGGCCTTGGCCAGAACAACATCCATGGCGTCAGGCATGAGATGGATCTTGGTTTTCGCACTGTCCCAGGCTTCAGTGTACAGTTTCTGTAATCACAGGATAAACATTAGCGGAGATACAATACGTTTTTGAGGGTATTTTTTTTAATCTGTGTTTCTCTTAAAGGAATCTGAATGATGACCAAAAAGCCTAGAGGAAATCCATCTACGTGTAAATACCTTGTTTATGGTATGAGCATTGGCCTTGGCCAGAGCCATGGGCATGTCTTCTGTGGTAAGTTTGAACTTGTAGTTGCTCGGATGCTGACGGTACTTCCTTTCACTCAGGACATCTGCAGCCTTCTTGGCTTTCTCCACATCCAGCGAACCAATGGGAACCCAGCCGGTGCCCTGGAGCCACTTCATGTCAGCCTTGTACACGGCCTGCCAGGAGACGGAGCCAAGAACTCGTGTTGAGTCATGATATTCGTAACAGGGCGTAATATGTCAAATTCTAGAATCAAAACTGCAATAAATAAATAAATGTCACACTCACATCACTCTGCAGGTCATAAGCCAGTCTGGCCTGGACCACATCGTTGGAGTCCGGCAGGCAGGTCCACTGGTGCAGGTGAGTTCTGTAGTTGAAGTCGTTGACCTGGATCTGACATTTCTTGGCCAGTTCGAGGTTCAGCATGTCCACAGGAAGATGGAACTTGGTCTTGGACTTGTTGAAGTCCTTCTTGTACAGAGCATCACTGGCAATCTTGGCTGAGTTCACAGCCAGCACCATCAGAGGATCGTCCTGGACACTGCGAGCACCAATGTGGTGACCAACCTGCTTACGGTATCCTGTTTTGTACTTGTACTGGAGAAGAAAATATAGGAGTAATAAGTACAAAGAGCAATAACGGCATCCAGTAATAAAATAAACATTAATGCTACTCTTTAGTGAAATCTATCAGCTTACATCACTGGCAATGTCTCTGGAGGCTTTGGCGGCCTTAATGGAAATAGCATCCTCGCGCATGTCGTAGCCTTTCTTCTTGGAATCTTCATTTGCCTGTTTGTACTTTTTCTGTGGTAACCAGATGGACACAGGCATTAAAAATTATAATGACATTTTTTTTGTTATATACAACAGCTCATCAATGATTAAGACTAAAAGGTTTTAATGTAACATACATAACTGTAGTTGACATTGTTTGCTTTGGCCAGAAGAACATCCATTGCATCAGGCATGACATGGATGTTGGTCTTCACATTGTCCCAGGCTTCAGTGTATGATTTCTGGGGACACAGACATGTGGAGGTAGAAGAATCAACAAACATTATGACTGTGGCATGTTTAGATTACAATGAAAAATAATAACAAAATGTAGGTGTCTTTAAAGAATCTATCATAAATAAAAAAGGAAAATTCAATTAAAGTGAACAAACAGCAAACAGTTTCCTTATCACACTCTGCTTGGGTTTTGTACAGATTCTCTTTAAAAGGTCAACCGGTCTTCTTAGAGATTATTTTAAATCTTGTGTCAGTATTATAGAAATGGACACAGCTGTCTATTCAGAAAGTCTTTTAAGGCCCAAGCAGCTGCGTCCTCTGAATTTAAAGCAAACATTAGTTGTAGACTTCAGTTCTTAAACAACCAAAACATTTTGAAGTCTATTTACTTTGTTGGATTCATTTATTGTTGTTCGTTTGTGTTTGCATACCTTGTTCATGATATTAGCATTGGCCTTGGCCAGAGCCATGGGCATGTCTTCTGTGGTAAGTTTGAACTTATAGTTGCTCGGATGCTGACGGTACTTCCTTTCACTCAGGACATCTGCAGCCTTCTTGGCTTTCTCCACATCCAGCGAACCAATGGGAACCCAGCCGATGCCCTGGAGCCACTTCAGGTCAGATTTATAGACCGCCTGAGAGGTGAAAGAGAAGAGAACTACAGAATCTGGCAAACAAGTATTATGATCGAGTATTCGTGAAAAAAACATCACAATATTATACTCACATCACTCTGCAGGTCATAGGCCAGTCTGGCCTGGACCACATCGTTGGAGTCCGGCAGGCAGGGCCACTGGGGCAGGGGAGTTCTGTAGTTGAAGTCGTTGACCTGGATCTGACATTTCTTGGCCAGTTCAAGGTTCAGCATGTCAACAGGGAGGTGGAACTTGGTCTTGGACTTGTTGAAGTCCTTCTTGTACAGAGCATCACTGGCGATCTTGGCTGAGTTCACAGCCAGCACCATCAGAGGATCGTCTTGGACACTGCGAGCACCAATGTGGTGACCAACCTGCTTACGGTATCCTGTCTTGTACTTGTACTGGAGAAGAAAACATGAGCAATCAATGATTATTATCATCCAGGAATAAATGTTATAATATTAAATTCTAATCTTTAGTGAAATCTGTCATCTTACGTCACTGGCAATGTCTCTGGAGGCTTTGGCGGCCTTAATGGAAATAGCATCCTGGCGCATGTCGTAACCTTTCTTCTTGGCATCTTCGTTGGCCTGTTTGTACAGTTTCTGAAGAAAACAAAAAGAGATAGAGCAAACATGTAAGGACTTTTTCAGTTTTGAAATATAAGATTTCTTCTGCAGATTTCCCGACACTTCCCGGCACATACTTACCAAGCTGTAGTTGGCTTTGTTGGCCTTGGCCAGAACAACATCCATGGCATCAGGCATGATGTGGATGGTGGTCTTGTCCTTGTCCCAGGCTTTAGTGTATGATTGCTGTGAAAATAACATTTGAGAGAACAATCAATGTGAGGATTTTTACTCCTGTCCATCCTGGGAACCTTTAACAAAGGATACCTTGACGAGTCATAAGACTTTACTCATACCTTGTTCATGTTGTTTGCATTGGCCTTGGCCAGAGCCATGGGCATGTCTTCTGTGGTGAGTTTGAATTTGTAGTTGCTCGGATGCTGGCGGTACTTTGCCTCACTCAGAATCTCTGCAGCCTTTTTGGCCTTCTCCACATCAAGCGAACCGATGGGAACCCAGCCGATGCCCTGCATCAACTTCTGGTCTTCCTTGTACACAGCCTAAACAAAATTAAAAAAACAAGGTATGTGATCCTGGGAAGTAAGCCTCACTTGACATCATGAGCAGACACACGGTGTCCATGTTCTACTCACATCACTCTGCAGGTCATAAGCACGTCTGGCCAGGACCACGTCATTAGAGTCTGGCAGGCAGGTCCAGTTGTGCAGACGAGTGATGTAATTGGCATGATTGACCTGGATCTGACATTTCTTGGCCAGTTCTAGAATCAGCATGTCAACAGGGAGGTGGAACCTGGTCTTGGACTTGTTGAAGTCCTTCTTGTACAGAGCGTCACTGGCGATCTTGGCTGAGTTCAGGGCCAGCATGAGCAGAGGATCGTCCTGGACGCTGCGAGCACCAATGTGGTGACCAACCTGTTTACGGTATCCTGTCTTGTATTTGTACTTGGGTAACAAAAAAGAAACAACATCGGGTGACGAAAGGTAGAAGAAAGAAACATCAGGGTAGTTTATGACAGAATAAACATCAGAGACTTACATCGCTAGCAATAGTGGTGGAGGCCTTGGCAGCCTGGACTGAAATAGCATCAGCACGAAGGTGGTGGCCCTTTTTCTTGGCCAGTTCATTGTCCAGTTTGTAGAGTTTCTGCAACAAAAGACATGTATTTTTGAAAGTGCACGACCTAAAAGAGGCGTTATAATTTAATCTCCTTAAAGGTCAAAGACCACAAACAAACTAAAACCAAAAAGAATACTTTAGTTAATGTGATGTGTAAGTCATTACCTCACTGTAGTTCTTCTTATTCTCCTTGGCCAGTACAATGTTGATGGCATCGGGCATGACATGGACGGAAGTCTTGTCTGTGTCCCAGGCTTTGGTGTAGGATTTCTACAAAAAAAAACACCCATAGCTTCATACCAGAGAGGAGATAAAGGAAGTCTCACTTTTGTGAACCATTTGTTTAAAGCCCTGTGTGGTACCTTATCCATGATCTGGTTGTTTGCAGTGGCCAGGGTCAGATCCATAGACTGCATGTCCTTGGTGAACTTGAGGTTGCTCGGGTGTTGGCGGTAGCGTTTCTCACTGAAGATCCTGTCGGCTAGTTTTGCTTTCTCAACGTCCAGCGACCCGATGGGGACCCATCCAATACCTTTCATGTAGCTTTCATATTCACTCTTGTACATGTTCTGAAAACCGACACCACAAGAATCAGCGCTTCTTTACAAGGTGCAGAACGTTCATTGAGTGATTGCAGTTTTTAAATATCACAGTCTTCGCTTACGTCACTGGCGATGAACTGCATGTTGCGAGCCAGTTGAAAGTTCATGGCATCAGGCAGCACGGTGTAGTGGGATATAACCTGCTTGTATCCAGTCATGGTCTGAACCTTTGAGGACTCTTTGGCGTGGACCACACTCCACATGTCCACAGGGGTGTGGTACTTCAGCTTGGACTTGTGGTAGTCCTTCTTGTAGTTCTTTTCACTCTGCATCTTGGCCACCTCCATGTAGTGCACCAGAAGAGGGTCGTCCTGGAGGCTACGGAAGCCCACGTGGTGACCTCTGGCCTTTTCGTAGGCCAGTTTGTACTTATACTTTAAGGTAGAATGCAGAGTTTGTTACTGGGCGTGTTTAAAACAACAGTTGATAACTGTTTTATAAAAGTGGTACTTACATTACTGGCAATGGTTGTTCCAGTCTTGGCAGCAAGAATTGAGATAGCGTCCGCTTTGAGGTTGTGGCCCTTATTGGCCATCGCAACCACACCAGCTTTGTAGAGTTTCTGTGAAAAAATAAAATAAAAAAATACTGCTTTACATAATGACATTCACAAATTATAGACTATTTGAGTATACCTCTATGTGTACTGCTTAAGCAGTGAACATTATCATCATATTAGGTGTCATTTGATTGGTGGGCATCAGTTATCTCCTTACGTTGCTCATATTGAGGGCGTTGGCCTTGGCCAGAACTATCTCAGGAGAGTCAGGCATGATGTGGACTTTGGTTTTGTCTGTGTCCCAAGCTGCAGTGTAGGCTTTCTGTAAAGAAAACAAATGGACATGGAAATCATTTTCCCCCCATCAAAACGTCATTGAAACGCTTCTGAATCTAATTTCAGATTAGGATTTACCTTGTTCATGATCTGGTTATTAGCACTAGCCAGAGTCAGGTCCATGGAGTCCATCAGTTTGCTGAACTTGTGGTTTGATGGATGTGTGCGGTACCTGTGGTCACTCAGAATCTGACCTCCAATTTTGGCTGTCTCCACTCCCAGTGAGCCAATGGGAACCCATCCAATACCTTTGATGTAGTTGTTGTACTCAGACTTGTAATCCCACTAAGAAAAAGAGATGAATTATGTTTTGTTTTTAAATCTCTTGTTTTTGTTCAAACTTATTTTTAATCATTGAAGGTACCACTCGATTGCTGTCACTTACGTCACTGCTCTGCAGGTTCATGTTGCGACACCTCTGCAGGTGCAAGTTGTCAGGCAGCAGCAGGAAGCTGTGAGGGATCTGCTTGTATCCAGTCATGGTTTGAACCTTTGAGGCCTGTTTGGCGTGGACCACACTCAACATGTCTACTGGGGTGTGGTACTTCAGCTTGGTCTTGTGGTAGTCCTTCTTGTAGTTCTTTTCACTCTGCATCTTGGCCACCTCCATGTAGTGCACCAGAAGAGGGTCGTCCTGGAGGCTACGGAAGCCCACGTGGTGACCTCTGGCCTTTTCAAAGGCCAGTTTGTACTTGTACTATACCACATGACAAAATGATATTCACCGTGATCATTTGGTTAACGTCGACCTACTGTATGATTAAAGGAATATAGATTTTTGAAAACGTACGTTGCTGGCGATATTAGTTGCAGATCTGGCAGCTAAGACGGGGATGGCATCTTCTTTCAGGTGGTGACCTTTATTAGCCATCTGCACCACACCAGCTTTGTACAGTTTCTATGAATGACATGAGATAATGTTACTTTATATTTAGCAATTGTTAATAAGTCACTTAATTCACATATTAACAGCAAATAAAAAATGCCAGTATTCAAGCAAGAATAAAAGCTGTAAAAATTGATCCAAAAAGTGCTTTAAACTTCAGTAAAAAGATACAATCTTGTTTGTTTAACTCTTTAGGAAACATTTAAACTGGTTACCAATAAGAACAAAAATCATGAGCTGGTGATATTGACTGTAAAAAAAAAAAATTAATCTGAATGAAGTGAATAAACAAAGTGAAAACCTTAGATTACATCTGACTTGTGTTTTTGTAATGACTTACGTTGCTCATATTGAGGGCGTTGGCCTTGGCCAGAACTATCTCAGGAGAGTCAGGCATGATGTGGACTTTGGTTTTGTCTGTGTCCCAAGCTGCAGTGTAGGCTTTCTGTAAAGAAAACAAATGGACATGGAAATAATCCCCCCCCATCAAAACGTCATTGAAACGCTTCTGAATCTAATTTCAGATTAGGATTTACCTTGTTCATGATCTGGTTATTAGCACTAGCCAGAGTCAGGTCCATGGAGTCCATCAGTTTGCTGAACTTGTGGTTTGATGGATGTGTGCGGTACCTGTGGTCACTCAGAATCTGACCTCCAATTTTGGCTGTCTCCACTCCCAGTGAGCCAATGGGAACCCATCCAATACCTTTGATGTAGTTGTTGTACTCAGACTTGTAATCCCACTAAGAAAAAGAGAGAATTATGGGTTTTTTTTAATGTAATTTTTAAAAAATCTCTTGTCTTTGTTCAGACTAATTTTTAATCATTGAAGGAACCACGTGATTACTGTCACTTACGTCACTGCTCTGCAGGTTCATGTTGCGACACCTCTGCAGGTGCAAGTTGTCAGGCAGCAGCAGGAAGCTGTGAGGGATCTGCTTGTATCCAGTCATGGTTTGAGCCTTTGAGGCATGTTTGGCGTGGACCACACTCAACATGTCCACTGGGGTGTGGTACTTCAGCTTGGACTTGTGGTAGTCCTTCTTGTAGTTCTTTTCACTCTGCATCTTGGCCACCTCCATGTAGTGCACCAGAAGAGGGTCGTCCTGGAGGCTACGGAAGCCCACGTGGTGACCTCTGGCCTTTTCAAAGGCCAGTTTGTACTTGTACTATACCACATGACAAAATGATATTCACCGTGATCATTTGGTTAACGTCGACCTACTGTATGATTAAAGGAATATAGATTTTTGAAAACGTACGTTGCTGGCGATATTAGTTGCAGATCTGGCAGCTAAGACGGGGATGGCATCTTCTTTCAGGTGGTGTTATTATTATCCATCGAAAACTGTATTGCTACAATTAAAAAAAACAGTAATGTTAATTATCGACAAATGAGTTGTGTTCTGACCTCACTAAGGCTCTGGGCGTTGAATTTAGCCTGGATGAACTCAGGGGTGTCA